CTCTCCAGAATGCTGTTGGTGAAAACAAAAAATTCAGAGTTCAAATTCCACCGGAGATGTGCAGGTATGCGTGTTACCCACCTTGCTTACAGCCTCTGTGGAGGTTTTTATGCGTGCCCTTAATGAATTTGAACAGACTTTTGGACTTGCCATTAATGCAAACAAGTCCAAATTATTCTCTGCTGGAGTGCTTAATGACCTCTCCTTCACTCGTATCCCTGTGGGGTCCCTCCCGGTTCGCTGGGGTTCCACTGGATGCACAAAAATTGAAGGTGACAAACTATTCACCACTCATTGACTCCATTAACAACTACTTTGCTGCTTGGAAAGGTTGTACTTTATCTCATGCAGGTAAGATTGAACTGCTAACTAAGGTGATCCAAGGTGTCATTGCTTATTGGCTACAAGAGTTCCCTCTCCCCCTACTGTTATTGAACACATCAATTCCATATGTCGAAAATTCTGGTGGGGGGGGGGGGGGGGGGTAAGCAAGAGGGCACTTGTGGCATGGGACATTATTTGTAAGCCAAAGGATGAAGGTGGCATGGGCCTTCGAAATCTAAAATTCTGGAATTATGCTTTCCTAGCCAAACAAATCTGGAACATTCATTCCCGAAAGGAATCATTATGGATCCGATGGATCCATGACTACTACTTGCGGAATGATGACTTCTGGGAATGGTTGTCCGGAAAGAATGAATCTGCACTCATGCGGGGTGTCGCCAAGGTTCGAGACACTCTCTTGAATTCGCTAGGAGGCAAGGCTAGCTGCATCAACAAACTGTCCTCTTGGGTGGGTCTAAAAGGCCTCAACACCTCAGAGGTTTATGAAGCTATTCGTGTTAAAAGCCAGAAATCCTTTGCCATGCGATTCATTTGGAAAGGCTTCATCCCCCCTAAGTTTTCTTTCTGTTGTTGGTTGTGTCTTCATGGGAGGTTATCAACAAAAGACAACATCAACTTTATAGAAAAGCACTGCTTTCTTTGCGGCAATGAACCTGAAAGTATTCCTCATCTCTTCTTTGCTTGCCCGTTCTCCAAACAAGTGTGGGAAATTGTTAGAGGTGTCATTGGTATTCAAAGAAACGCATGCTCAATCAAAGGGGCCATTAAATGGCACAAAAGGGATTCGCGAGGTACTTGTCTTCGGTCCAAAGCTGGAGGCTCTCGCAATTCTGGCTTCAGTCTTTCACATTTGGCGGACGAGAAACTCTTTGTATTTTGACAAGGTGGCTGCTGACCCGGCTCGGACAAGCTCCATGATCATCAAGAACATCTTCGAAGTGATGTTCAATCTCTACCCGGGTGGTTGGCAGCAACGAAGTTCACTTTTGAGAAGCTACGTTTGTGGAGTTCTGGACGGGAACTCTTTGCCACCTTTGGATACACCACTATAGGAACAATTGAATCTTTGGTGGCGCGTCAAGCTTCCATAACTGATTCTACCACGTAAAACCCACTGGGACTGTCCCCACCCTACCCTCCATCAACCTTTTGTACCCCTATTTAACTGTGTACTTACCCTTTAAATCACCTGGCCAATACCACAAGTTCACAAAACCTGGGCAGATTGGGATACTCCTGATCAATTCCACATCCCTTTCATCCAACAAATCCCTCAACACATTGTCATCCCAACCTAACCTGTCTACCCTCATTAAGCTCGCCACCTTCAACTCTTCCAAAAACGGAAGTGGCGGCGTTGCCACGTACAACTCTTGCCTCAGAAGCCAAAGATAACCCCATATCGGTGTTGCTTGCCCCTCCCCAACCCTCCTCCGGACCCCCTCCACTATCAAATCATGGGCTACTATAATATTCCTCCAACAATAGCTCATATTACTACCCACTGTAGCCTCTAGAAACAAGTCCATCCTATAATGTCTAGCTTTGTAAACCCTACTCACTAGAGATGCAGTATTGTTTAGCAAATGCTACCCATGTTTCACTATAAGTGCCACACTAAACTCTGCCAACCTCGCGAAACACAGACCTTTGAACTTCTTGGGCACACACAACCTATCCCACGCCATCCACCGAATACCCCCATTGCTCCCTCCCACACCAACAATCATTCATCAACCTCTCTAACCTGGCATAAAAATCCCCTAGTATGAGAAATACAATCATCATAAATATAGGGAGTGCCTGAGCCACACAGTTCAACATAATCTCCTTTCTTGCCCTAGAAACAATGCCCTATGCCAGAACCCCAACCTTTGCCTCGGCTTGTGCTCCACATATGAGAACACTGCTCACTTATTATGCCCAATGAATGATGGCAAACCGAGATACCTACCAAAGTCATCCGCCCTACCCACATTAAGAACACCCTACACCAACTCCCTACAAAGCACATACGCATTCTAGATATACACCACATTAGACTTGTTGAAATTGATAGCTTGACCCAACACCAGCCTATAACGATCAAGGCATTCCTTAACAACCACTGCCCCCTCTTCATTTGCCTTAAAGAAAAGCAAACTATCATCAACAAAGAAAGGATGTGACATTGAAGGGGTCCTACGCCACCCTAACCCCATGAATATGCCCCACCCATTCAACCTCCCTAATGAGATACAACAGCCATTCCGCACAAATTATAAATAAGTATGGCGAGAACGGGTCCCCTTGTCTTAGCCTCCTCATAGGGACCACCTGACCAACCAATACTCCATTCACCAACACATTATACCTCATAGTGGCCACACATAGCATCACCAACCTAACCTAGCTATCCTCAAAATCCAACCGTCGTAGCATGTACTCAATGAATTTCCACTCCACCCTATGATAGGCCTTAACCATATCTAGCTTCATACCCACCCTACCCTCCTAATCTGCTTGCGTCTCAAGTAATGTCACACCTCCGCTACTACCAAAATATTATCCATTATCAGTCTTCCCGGAATAAACGCACTATAAAAAACATCAATGATCTTATCTATAAGCGACTTCATCCTATTTGCAATTATCTTCGCCGTGACTTTATAGAGCACATTACGCAATGTTATCATATGCAAATCTGTGACCAACTCTGAGACCCCCTTCTTGGGATAAGCACAATATTGGCCTCATTCAACCCCTTATGAAACTCCACCTCGCCCAAACAACCCAATACAAACTCAGACACATCCACCCCCACTACTTTCCAAAAATGCTAATAAAAACCCGGGTTCATCCCATCTGGGCCCGGAGCTTTGTCTGGGAACATCGCAAACACCCCACTACTTTCCAAAAATGCTAATAGAAACCCCGGTTCATCCCATCTGGCCCCGGAGCTTTGTCTGGGAACATCGCAAACACAACAGCCCGTATTTCCTCCATCCCCTACGGCCTTCCCAAACGCTCATTATCAACCTCCCCAACCAGCACTTGCACACCCACAAAATCATGTAATCTACTCGTACCCCCCTCCATCGTATGAAAAATACCCTTGAAATAGTCCAACACCAGCCCAACCCCCCCCCCCCCCCCCATCTCCCTCCCCTCCACCCACTAACCATCCTCCCTCCTCAGTCGCAAGAACTTATTCTTTTACTTTTGATGTGTAGCATACCTATGAAAATATTTCGAATTAGCATCAACCCCACCGAAGCCAATGTTGTTTCGCCTTCTACCACCAATACACATTCTCCCCGCCCTACCACATAGCCAATTCAACATCCACATGCCTAAATTCCTCCAACGACTTAGGATCGCAAGTTCTTAGAACAAACAAACGCTGCTTACACGACGCAATGTGCCTACTAAAATTCCAAATCTGATCTCCTCCCCACCCATTCAACCTCTGCACATAGTGCGCTAGCCTCTCCTACAATCCCTTTCCCACTAACTCCTCCCACGTTCCCTTTACCACCTCTCCACACCCTTCATCCCCCAACCAAGCCATTTCAAACCAATAATGATGCACTCGACTCTCACTCGGTCCCTCAAACTCCAACAGAATGGCATCATGATCAGATATATCATATATACGTCCTCACATGTCGCACTGCCGCATGCGCATGTGACTCACACCACCGAGAATCAGCTAGCACTCTATCCAACCGCTCCTCCACCCAGGCTGACGTACCCCTACCCCTCTCCCAAGTAAAGCCATAACCCTCCATCTCTAAATCCACCAGCCCACAATCCTCCACCGCTTGGCCAAAACCCCAAATAAGACTTCCTAGACGAGGATGACTACCCTTCTTCTCACTCTAGCTCAACAAATCATTAAAATCCCCCCCCCCCCCCCCCCACCACCCATGGTAAATCCGACCTACCTCTCAACGACTGCAAAAGATCCCAAGATTGCAGCCACCTCCCCTTCTTCGAAAACCCATAGAAACAAGTTAATCGCCACATGGACTCCCCATGCAACGCCATACCCACATCCACATGATTCATAGAGTAGATGATTAGGCTCACAAACCCCCTCACCCACCAAAGCAGCGCCAGCCCACTCCCAATACCACACTATCCACATAAAAGAACTCATCAAACCCCAATCTCACTCTCAATTGCTCCACCCTTTCCCTCCCTATCTTTGTTTACATAAAAAATACAAAGTTGGGTTGCTTCTTAGACACAAAGTTCACCACCTCCTGAACTGTACGTGGATCACTTAAGCCACAACAATTTCAACTTAATATACTTATTATAAACAAGCGGGCTTGAATCTCAAGTCTTGCCAAAACCAGTCATGCACCCTCATCAACGATCATTGGCTTAGTCACCCGTACAACCCCAACCGTTGAATGGATTTAAGGTTTACTTGATAATAAATCACACAATTCCTTAAATAGTATATTGAAATCAAATTCCATAATCACTCAATTCTTGTAAAAAGTGAACATTGTTGCCTAATTAAGAATTATAGTAAAAGACACAAAATCAATTTTATAATTATTACGGAGTATAAATTTTTATTGTTGAGTAAGTTTGCAAGTGGAAAATTAGAACACTTACAAAAAAAAAGTTAAGAAATTGACTCAATTTTCTAAAGTCTATCCGCTTTCTTTGTTTCTTTCTTCTGTGTTGGGACGGCGGGCGCGAGCAGCGAGCCGTTGGGAAATGTATGCGCTCAATCTCCGTCCATCAATATACGAGTTCCCACGCTCGCCCAATCCCAGATCTTTACCACAGCTTCACTCGCACAACTCTACTTCCTTCCCTCTGCACCCACAAATCCCTTCTCCCACTCGATTCAGTCGGATTCCCATCACTTCTTCTACAACTTTCTTTTCTAATTTTCCGACGGATTCTCCGGAAAATGATGGAGACTACCTCAGCTCTGATTCAACTCTCAATGAGACCACATTGCCGTCTGGTTCGTCATTCCTTAATCTTATTAGTAAATTCGTATTAGTTAAATAAATAAATATGTTATTATTTCTGCACTTAAATATCGACCATTTCTCAAAATGAATCAAATTTGTGTAGGCAAGCAGTTCTTGGAAAACGCCTCGTGGATTGGTCTCGCCACTATTACTAGCAAAATTATGGTGATCTTTGTTTTGCTATCCGTCTACTCTATGTCTTTGTTCTCTCTTTTTCCCTCCTCATAAGAAAGGTGGAATTTGTATCTATGCCTATTGCCTATGCAGGGATTACTGCGGGAAATTGTAATGGCTTCGGTTTTCGGGATTGGGCCAGTAGCAATTGCATTTAGGTACATTTATCTTCTGTAGAATTGTTTTGAATGCTTCGTTTTGGCTGTGTTGCATGCTTTCTTGAGGAAGTTGATTTTAATACTTGAGCCAAATTTATGGTTGAGAGTGAGCTCAATTTTAGATATGCTTGGGTGCTGCCAGGATTTGCTGCATCTGTCCTTGGTGGTGAGTTCCTGAGATTGACGCAACATCATTTCCACTGTTTGTTTTAAATTGTATATTCTGCAAGTGAGCCATGATTAATTTTGGTTTCTTTTTTGGTCCTCTGAGGGAATGTTTGCATAAAACTTTGAAAACCCATCTTTCTAATATGTGTTTGTATACTTGTATACCTTTATCCAATATATTGCATACTGAGATTCATGTAGTTTTTTCAATTTGTGAAGAGGTTCCAACCTCTGTTGTTACATCATATCATAATGTATTATTCAAAACATTCCAATAGAGAGAATGCGGACGGATGAGGAAAGCCAATCTAATTTACAATCTCTCTCTCTCTCTCTCTCTCTCTCTCTCTCATGTTAACTAAAATTGTAGAGTTCTGGGGTGGTGTTTACTAGATAAACATATTATATGGTACTTTGTCACTTTAGTTGAAAACAAGTACAGCTGCTTTATCACTGCCTTTCTATTCTATGCAGGTGTAAATGGTCCAATCCATATTACAATGACTACAACTCTAAGGTTATGCATTGTCTCTCACTCTCTCCTGACAACTGAAGTTGTTATTCATTCATTGTCATTAAAATTTACTAGAATAAATACTAAGTATAGCACTCTCTTACATATACCACTGTAGTACAAGAGAATAAGAGATAGATTGTTACCAGTGTTGCATTAGGTTAAGTGATTACCGCATATTGATAATGTATGGAACTCAGTGAAAGGTCTTAAACAATTTAGCCAAGTTCCTAAATAGTTGTTTTCTTTAACTTTCTCTGTCAATGTTCTTCTGGGTTATCTTAATTTTTCATTTCAAGCTTCTGATTCACTCATCAGTAAACTTCCCGAGGAGCGTCAAAAGAAGCTATTTCAGCATACAAGTATCATCTTGTTCCTGGTATGCAAGCAAATTAAGCACTTGTATCATCTCATCTTCTGCTACTCTTAATTATGATCTAACAAGTAATGGTGCCACACAGGGAGGAAGTGTTTTTGCTGCTCTAGTATTCATATTTGCTGAGTTTATAATTCATGCTTATGCACCTGGGTAAGGTACTAAGGTTGAAGAGAGCTTTTCTCTAATAGAAATGAGAATAAATTTATAGGATTTAGCATTGCTAGGTGACTAACTTAGCCTACCATTCATAACATATGTAACTAACAAAATACAAAGCTGCATATCTGATTATCTGATTACTAAACTGTACTTTTATGGATTTATCTGATTACTAAACTGTATGGAAATTTTAAATGAAACTAATTTATCATTTGGGGCTGACCTATTAAAGCATATTTAGAGCCATGTATGTTCCTGGTGATTATATGTATTTTTCTTTTCCTTTTTAACTACGGAGTAATTTTTTTTATTCAGTTTATGGACCTTGGTAGACGGTGAAACAACTAGAGAAATAGCTATTAAGCAGGTAATTCTGGATTATAGAAGCACTGCTCATTTGGTTTTGTTGCTTCATTTTCTTAAGTCTGATGTTCCTCTATCATTCATCTCTTTTCAGTTGAAAGTAATGAGTTCCTGCATAGCTGTTGCTGGACCTATCGGACTTGGCTATGCATATATGAGGTACTCATTGTAATTTCAGTAGTTCATTGCAATAGTTATATGTGCACCTAACAATCTCTTCTTGCTCGCCCATTTGTGATTTTGTGGTTGCTTGAAACCAGTACAAGGGGTAAAAATGTCCTTCCTGCTATTTGCCCCACACTTTCTAGCTTGATCCTGATTGCCAGTGTGAGTTTCACCTTACAATTTTTTGTGCTCTTGTCCACCATTTTCTGCCAACTGAATTGGGAGATAAATCCACTTTTATGTTTCTTGCAGTGCATCTTTTATACTTTCAGTGGACAAGGAAATGCTCCTTATTATGGTAATGAAGGATTTCATTTATGTACTATATCCATATCCATATCCATATTCCATGTAACTGATAGTTATATCCATCTCAAATACATTATACAGGAGGGATTCTTTTGTCTTTTGGAGCTGCATTTGGCTTGTTTTTGCAATGGGTAATGCAGGTATCCCTCCTTTTTCTCCTCTTCAACTCCCACATCCCTTTCCCTTTCTAGGTTTGTAAGGTTAAGCACATTTATCTTCGTTCTTGTATATTGAGTATCTTTCTCACTCCTTTTTCTCCTAGTATCTCAGCTTCCTTGATGTGCATATGATATAAACTTATATGGATATGTCATCCTTGGGTTTCAGGCTCTAGTGCTTAAGGGAGCATGGCGTATCAATGTTCCATATCCACAGATGGATACATTAGCCATCTATGATGTCAGCAAGGTAAATGCCTTATGTCCTTTGCCTAGAAATGTTATGCTTATTTAACCAGTTGGTTGCTGCTTTTTTCTAATTATGCTATCATTTTTTTGTGCATAGTTTTTCTCATTGCTTCTGCCAGCAACATTTACTTCCAGCTTGGAGCATATTGCATCATTCACTGACCTATGTTTTGCCTCACGTGTACCTGGTGCAGTGGCAGGTCTCTCATGTAAGTTCTAGTTAAGTGATGTTTGAAACCACTCAACCATTGTCTAATGTCTATTAATCATGATTTCATTCTCTCAATTTTGCATGAACTCTTTTAAGTTTTTAAGTTGAATTTTATGATATTATGGAGTATTTCACTATCTAACAAACTTGAGTTTCAGATGCAAATCTTTTGGTGACTGCACCACTTGGACTACTTTCAAGCACAATTTTACTGCCACTTTTGCCTACTTTCTCCAAACTGGCAAAGGTGCTCATGTGATGCATTTTCCAATTGTAATTCGGTTATGCAATGATAGCTTATTTTATTTTTTATTTTTTGAATTTTTTCCCTGTCAGAGTGCATCCTGGACAGACCTCACCGAAAAGCTAAGAAGTGCTATTCTGCTATGCATGGTAGGTCTTTCACTGGGAAATAAGTAGTAGACCCTTTCGGGCTCCCTGGTTTGCTTATGTATACAACTGCCTGAATTCTGATAATCTTGGGCATTCCCCTTTCTGATTTGGTGCAGGTGGTTCTATTACCCATCTTGTCAACTGTGTCCACCTTAGCAGAACCAATAATCAGAGTCTTGTTTGAGCGTTTAGCATTTAATTCCTCTGCAACTTCTCTAGTAGCTTCACTTTTTATTTGTTGTAAGGATGTTCAGTGGAAATTTTTACAAGGAGCCCTATGCATATAATTTTTATGAATGCTCTCCAGGTACACATAACTTATTGACAAAAAATTTTGTTATGCAGATTCTATTGGCACACCATTCTTCATTGTTAGAGACCTGTTAGTTGCAGTCTTTTATTCCCTTGGAGATGGACAGAGGCCTGTTCTGGTTAGCATCAGTGCCATTGCTCTAAATGCCATACTGGACTGGTTTTTGGTCTGCAGATATTTCCTCGGAGGACAAGGGCTGGTAAGGTTCTTTATTTAACCACTGGATGGAAGAAAGTAAAAGAAAGGTTTTGACATTGACTTATTTTACATAAAGGCACTTTCAACGTCAGCCACAGCTGCACTTTCAGTTATTCTGATCCTTCTTCTTCAGAAGAAGCTAGCAGGTAAATTCTTGAAAATTGTGTGTCTGCAGATATTTCTTTGTTTATAAGAGAAAGGATTGGGTATTGCTAGGATACCCCGACAACCCGTGAATGATAGGGTATGAATATGCATCTCAACCTATCATGAATATACACATCAACTATTTTTTAAAATCATCAATTTTCTAAAAAATAGAGCATATGTGAAAGGAGAAATATGATAGGGAAATAATGGGGATCCAAGTTGCATGATCTTGGGAGCTAAAATCAAGGAATTACATGTTAATTGATTGATTATCCTCAATTTATTATTGCCTTTTCTATATTTTTATAGACTATAAATAACAGATTCCCTTAGAAGGGAGGGGCAAGAAGGATTAATTCTTATTATAATTACTATAGTATATCAATAAATTATTGTTTAAAAATAAATAAATAAATAATATAATTAATAAGGGAAAATGACACTTTTTCCTCCTAAGTTATATACTTATAGCACCTTTTCCCCCTCAATTATTTATGTAAGCACATTAGCCCCCTCAATTATTTTAAAAGTTGTGGTTTTTCCCCCTGATATATTAAATTGACATTTCTACCCTTAAAGTAAATATTTTATTTATTTTACTTCTCCAACAAATTATTGTGTATATGTAGCAATGACCACGGTTCGGTTCGAACTGAACCGGACACTATAGCAATCGAATTAAAAGTTTCCGGTTATGATTCAGATCTAGAATCCAATATTTAGATTTCAATTTATTAAATTTATGAACCAAAAAAACTGGATCATGAACCGTGAACCGGCGGTTTCGGATCCGGTTTGTGATTTTGAACCGTCTTTATTTTAAATTTTATTTTATTTTTTATTTTAAAATAGTCTAAATTCAACAATAAATGTATTTTATTTTTTCAGTTCGGAACATGAATCGACCATTTCGATTTGTGATTTTAATAAACTCTAAATATCGCGTTTTGATTCTAAATTGTAATTGGAATATTTTGGTTTGGTTGCTATAATATCTGTTTGGTTTGAACCAAATTATAGTAATAATTTGTTGGAGAAGAAAAATAAATGAAATATTTATTTTAAATATTTATTTTAAGGGTGAATATGTCCATTTAACATTTTAGGGGGGAAAAGAGCCACTTAAATAATTCAGGGGGGAAAAGTGCTATAAGTATATAACTCAGGGGGAAAAAGTGCCATTTTCCCAATTAATAATTAACAATTATTTTTATTTATTTGTTTAAATATCTACAAAAATTAATTTATTATTCGTTAAATGTAATTATTTTGTAGTTAGTAATTAATAATTATTATATTATTAATGAATTGTTTTTTTATAAAATATATGGATATGGATGTGGTTATATGTCTTTTTACATGTTAATCATTAATCATAAATAGCTAATTTTACCAAACATCTCTACAAACTGCAAAGACAATCCACTGGTTAAAACTGCTAACATCTAACCACTAACCTAATCGCTGATTGTGCCTAATGCGGTATCCCAGAAATACACAATATTTATCTTTCTCAACCGTGTCCACATCTATCCAATTTGTTTCTAGTATCATTTTATGTTTTTGGTGTAAACTTTTGCAGGAGTATTCCATTATGCTGAACTTATGTATCCTGCTTTTCTTCTAAGCATTTGTTGCCTCGTCTCAAGCCTTACTACTTCCATCACTCATGATTTATTGGTCCAAATGTTGACCTCAATCTGCAGGAAGAGGTTTGCCCCTCATCAATTTTCCAGCACAGCCCTTTTAAGATGTGTTAAGCTTTTCAATATATGCAATTTCTTTTAACCTGGGGATCTTGACTGTCTTTTTCAGGTTAGGTAGGGTGGTAGAAGCTTTATCCATTTGTTTGGCCAGTGCTACTGGAATCATCAGCTTCTTTGTTCCAGTTATATTGCTTTATTTTTCAGGATTTAAGATGCCTGGTTTATCAGGGTTGCTGGGCTGGTTAACCAATAAGCCAGAAACTGTTGCTTAATTCTCTTGCAATATGCCAAAAACAGAAAGCTCTGGAATCTGGATTATCATTGGGTAGTTGGTAAGTAGTTGTTAGCTGATTGGGCTAGTGGATTTGAGTAGTTGATAGCATTAGCTGATTTTAGAAAAGTACTTGGTAAATTGGCCGATAATTACATGTAAAATGACTCTATCAACACTAGGAATCAATTGGAGTTATTTTTTTTTTTTTTAAAAAACAATAACATTTTTGTAAATAACTCAAACTTTAAATTATTTTACCATATATATATATAATGGTTTTTTAATATTATAAAGTGCACTTTAGCAAAACTACAAAGTGCATTATTGATAAATCGTGAAAACTAAACTAAAAACCAAAACACAAAGCTAAATCATAAATACTATATTAAGACTGGAATGAGGACGGGATTGGAATGAGAAACACAACAGGACGTGAATAACTGAATAAGGAACACAAAAGAGATTTTCTCTCAACAATATAACAAAATACATAATATAGATGCTATAAAAATACTAGTAAAATGTTTCAAGACTCTTAAGAATATTGTCAATTTGTTGTACATCTAGATCCTAAGACATGGAAGCTCAAAAAAGTACCAACGCCAAGAAAACTCTACATGACTGATAGTGCAAACTTGGACAACCTAGCGACGCTTGTATATGCAAGGCTTGAGCTCAGGCCAATCAATTTCCCTTCCCTGCAACTTTTGCTTATCCTGCAATCAAAAGGAACCCACAACTAAATACAGGCACTCACTTCACAAAGAAACACAATTCGACTTCTGTGAAACCTGGAACAACCCAAAGAATATAACACTGTCAAATCAATAATTTACGAGTAAATCTTATCACCTTTTTCTTAAAGTAGAGGAGTACAAACATCTTATTGGAGAAATCCTGCACACCAAACATAGTACTCAGAAGTGATTTGTAGATTACCATTTATAATGAGAACAACAATCTGGAGAAAACATGTATACCTTAAGTACGGACGTATATCCAAGTTCACATACAGCTTTCACAAACTTCACAGGGTCTGCTCCCCCAGTATTTGGATCAAGTCTGCTCTTTACCTCGGCTATCAGGAGCCACCCACTGCATACACTCATCCACAAATAACGTAAGAAACTATAACATCAAGAAACCTCAAGATTTAGTACTTTGAATACCCAGGCTTAAGAACTCGATGAGCTTCTTGAAGATAGCTTGAATAGTTTATTCCCATCAGTGAAAGGCAAAACACAGCAACGTCCACAGAGGAGGAACCCAGAGGAGTCTGCAATGAAAAACGGGAAATTTAAAAGGAAGCCTGGCCAAATTCAGATAAAGACCAAACTCCCAGCTTATTCTAGACACTTAGCATTTCAATGTATTCAAGCAGATAATCGGAGGTGCATTCAGATAAACTTCAATGTCCACTAAAAGCACATACATCTGACATATCACAGGCTATAACCGAAGGATCATTTGACACAAGATCAATAGAGAAAACTTTATTCTTCACACTCCTTGAGAGCCGTGCATCTCCTGAAATGATAGAAGAACAAACAATATTGGCAGCAGTAGAAGCCACAACTTGGTGAAACTAAACTATCAAAGAATGCATTATATATATTATATATACATGGGGTTAGGACCATGCTTCTCAATTCTTACCACAGCCAAAGTCAGCCACTACTAAAGAAGGGTCGTGATCTTTGAGCCACTTCATCATTATGTTAACTGGCTGATCAGGCCAATGTGACATCTGTTCTTGGTACCCTGCATGATACTGGCCAGGTAAGTAAACATAAGTTAAGTAGAAAGCCAATAGATACACTGAAGGATGAACTGAGAAAAGAAAATTTTCATATCTAAAACATGTGAAAATAAAGGAAATTCAGATAGGATTACTCATTTGCAATGACATACATGGAAGACTGAAGTATATGCACAAGGACTAGCATTGGATATAAAAAGAAAATCAAACAGTGGTCGAAAAGCAAATAATACTTTATACTGTTTTTCTTCAGTACTGAAAACACAAGAGTGCTCCCATCAACAAGGATGTAATTACTTAGCAAGCATGATGATCATGCTAATTAGAGCTTGGGCCACAATGAGATTATTATGGCCCTGTTTGGTAACATAGTTAGCTTATCAGCCAATTTGGGCTTATTTGATCACTATTAGCTGACCACGGCAAATTATGCCCTGGACCTGTGTCCACAATGCCCAAAACGACGTCGTTTTTCAAAAAAAAACGCGTCATTTAGTTTATAAAAAAAAAAAAAAATCGCGCGTGTTTTGCCGTTAACGGCGTTATTTTTTTTGGATTATGAATGTACAATTATGCCGTTATGAATGTGCAGTTATGCCATTATGAATGTACAGTTATGCAGTTATGAAATTATGAACATAGAGCTCTAACATTATGAACTTACAATTATGAACATATAGTGATAAAATTATGACCATGGAGCTTTAAAATTGTGAATATAGAGCTTCGAAGATTATGAATGTACAGTTATGGAGTTATGAATATACAGTTATAGAGTTATGAATCTACAGTTATGGAGTTATGAATCTACAGTTATGAGATTATGAATCTACAGTTATGAGATTATGAATCTACAGTTATGAGATTATGAATGTACAGTTATTGATCGAATTATGAACAAAGAGCTCTGACATTATGAACTTACAATTATGAACATATAGTGATAAAATTATGAACATAGAGCTCTAAAATTGTGAACATAGAGCTTCGAAAATTATTAATGTACAATTATGGAGTTATGAATGTACAGTTATGGAGTTATGAATGTACAGTTATGGAGTTATGAATGTACAATTATAGAGTTATGAACGTACAATTATGGAGTTATGAATGTGCAGTTATTAACATATAATAATAAAATTATGAACATATACTTCTATAACGAAACGGTCTGAAATTTAGAAAAAAAAAAGGAGATAACCGTTACCCGTGTCCAGCGATTGTTAACTATTAGCTGTTTAACTTGGTTAAACATTCATTGGATTAATTAGCTTTCTATATAGCTTATTGCTCCAAAATGTTAAATTTTTTTGAGAAAGTCATTTTGCATGTATTCATGCTATAAGCTTACAACTAATTTACCAAACATCGTTCTACAATAAGCTAATGCTATCAAATACTCAAACCCACTACCCAATCGACTAACAATTATTTACCAAACACCATGTTTTGGATTTTGGATTTATTTACGGAGATTCGACATAGAAAGCAAACTTACCACACTAAACAACTGTGGATCTTGTTTGAAATAGTTGAGTGCCTCATCTCCACTGAATTAAAGGGACACAAAACAAAACTTTCATCAGATAATTTCAGCAAAAGGCTTAACTTTCATGCTAGGCTGTTATTACATAAATAAGAAGATATTTGTTAGAATAGCCTAGAAACAGGAGATAAACCGTTACGTATTAGGTTCAGTCATCGCCGCATCAAAAGCAGGGAAACTTACGAGCATGTGTAAAGCTTCTCATTAATCATACGGAAGTGTCCCCCTGACAATCTCGCCCTCATCTGCATAATCACGCCAATAATTACCAATTCCTCATATTATCGAAAGATAGATGGAGGGAGGAGGGAACCTTATCGATAAATGATGAAGTTTTGTTGGGTTTAGAGATGGTTTTGCTCTGCAAGGCGGAAACCGAGGATGAATCGCCGGATTTGTGCTTAGCAAAAGAAGCATTATCTCCGCTAGGAGGCGGAGAGGCGGCGGGTTTTTGGCGGCGCTTCCCTCTCTTCCTTTTACGATTCCGTGTGTCTTCCTTCATCACTGCTCGTCTGCTCCTCTCCGATTTCGGCCGACCTTCGTGTCTGTCTTGCCCGAGTGACTCTCTCAGGTAGTACAAATGGGTAATTTTTGGTCCTTTCTTCGGCCCACTACCCTTTTAATGGACTGCATAATTCCAATCGTTATACCTTACACCACGGCGCGCGTAGCACTTTGCGCTGCGCGCCTCCCAAAACGATGTCGTTTTGGGACCGTTTTAAGAGGCGCGGTAGGAAGTTGTTATGATTATGTATATTTGTTTATACAATTATGTATATTTGTCCATATAATTATGTATATTTGTTCATACAGTTATGTACATTTTTTATACAATTATGTACATCCAAATAAGAAAATTTGTATGTATTATGTTAAGAGTGTATGTGTATTATGTTAAAAGTTTATGTTTATTATGTATTATGTTAGATTATGTGTATTATCTTTTAAAAAGAGTATGTATATTTTGTTATATAATTATGTACATTCATGTATACAATTATGTGTATTCTAGTATAACATTATGTACATTTTTGAACATGGGTTTTTTTTAAAGAAAAATTAACTGCCATACACTGGGGTGAGAAATTTAAAAAAAAAAATTAAAATTAAAACGACGTCGTTTTGCATCTGGGCGCACAGTGCAACGCACTCCGTGGTGTAGGATATAAATTGCCGCATATGAGTGTTTGGTTAATCAATTTTTTTTATAATAGCTTATTTCTTCAAAACACTAAAATTCAAAAAACGGCTCAAAACAACTTTTTCGATCAATTTTTTGAAAAAATAAATTATACCTTTAAATGTCATTTTTCATTTAATCAACTAATATAGAGTTAATAACCAAAATGGTCCCTCAATTATACCGTAATTATCAATTTAGTCCTCAACTATTATTCTTACCTAATTTAATCCTTAACTATGTAATCTTTCTTCAATTTAGTCATCCGATTTGTTAACTAGTCTATTAGTTCAGGATTAAAATTAGAGACAAAAATATAATTCCATAACCTTTCTCCTTCATCTCCCATTTAACCGTGTCAAACCTTGCTGTTCCTTATACGGTGACTCAAGTGTTCACGTATTGATATATTCCTTGTGCTTCAGGAAATGCTCCAATATGATTCAGGAAATCTTCAGGAGTGCGTGTTGGGAAATAGATTGTTTAGTTCATTGTCTCCCTGGGAAGAGTTCTCAATGAACTTAATTGTGTGCAACAACTGCAAAACGTCGTTAATCCACAACCTCGGCACAGTTAAATGAAAGATGAAGGAGAAAGTTTATAGAATTACATTTTCATCATTAATTTTAACCATCAACAAACCGATAAGTTAACTGAGGACTAAATTAGGGAAAAATTACATAGTTGAGAACTTAATTGGGTAAGAATGGTAGTCGAGGATTAAATTGGTAATTACGGCATAATCGAGGGACCATTTTGGTTATTAACTCACTAATATATATAGCTAACAACTAATTTACCAAACATCTCTACGACCAACTAATGCTATCAACTAATCAAACCCACTAACTCAATCCGCTAACATCTATTTACCAAACACTCACAATATGTTAACGGAACTGTAGGTACATAATTTAAATGTCATTTTGAATCATGACCTACAATGAAATGTAGACCTTGGTCCATATGTGTGATAAATTATATCGTGGACTAGGGTCAACCTTGGTTCAAAATGGTGTTGCTTTATATTAAGTTTTAATTAGTGCATCATGTTTAAAACATTATCATATACTATGCTCATAATATTTGTTTTATATATTTATAAACTTAAACCTTAATATACATAAACAATAAACCACATGTATATCATATGTATTTTCATCTACACTATAATATCATAGTAAATTCATAATGTTGATTCTATATGTTCATAAAAAAACAAAATGTAATCTCTATAAACATTACACTACAAATAAATCCTTTATATAATAAAGCTATATGGTTTGGAAAATAATTAATGTTACAATTAATGCCACAACATCATTTATTATATAAAAAAAAAAAGAAAAAAAAAGCACAACATTTTAAAAATAAAATAGCTATATATTATATAATCATAAAAAAAATATACTTTTGAAAAGTAAAATAGCTATATATTATATAATCATATAAAAAATGTGTTCAATTAGAGTTTAAATTTACACATACAAAATTTGAAATTTGCTTTCTAAATGTAATGATCTTAGTTATTATTTGTATTGTGAAAATTATAATATAGATGAAATACAATTAAGAATAAATCAATGTAATTATGTAAATTATCTCTATAAATTTATTTGAATATGCACATAATTAGAGATTATATTAACCATACAAAATTATAATTTTAATTTTAACTTTAATTTTAATTGTAATTTTGTATTCTATAAAAATAATAAATACTTGACCAATGAAAGCTCAAAAATATTATTATATTAAATAATTTAAAATATTTTAATTTTTCTATTTTTTATTTATAATAACATAAATTTTTTCCCCTGCATCGCGCGGGTGAATTACTAGTCATGTTTAATAACATTAAGGACATATATAATGTAATGTCCATAAACATACAGATAAACCCGCTGAAATCAAACTTGTCGGATCACACATAAAATGCAGGCGAACGTGAAGTTATCTGGCAAATTATATCTTGCACCGCGGTGCATAATCAATTATGCACTACGCATCAAAACGATGTCGTTTTATTTTATTTAATGAAAAAAAACGACATCCGTTTTTTGCCGTTCCACACCCTTTCGTAAAAATAACTCTATTATTCAGTTTCATTTTGTATACACTGCAGTTTCAGTTCAACACAATTACAATTTCATTTCAATATACCTACAGTTTCATTTGATATTCATAGACCCAAATATGTAAAAATGTTATTTTATTTTATTTTATATACACTATAGTTTTATTAAAACACAATTACATGATCATTTTGATATAATTACAGTTTCATTATACAATATACACTCAAATATGTGAAATGTTATTCAGTTTCATTTTAAATACACTGCAGTTTCATTTCACCACAACTACAATATCAGTTTGATAACTCCAGTTTCATTTGTAATATAAAAATAATACGTGAGGCAGTATCGGTTTAGATATACTGTAGTGCATGTCAGTTGATAATTAACATACAAAAAGATACGCGATCCGCTAACACTAACAACGCGCCGTTTCTTTATTTAAAGAAACGACGCTATTTTAACCGCGGTCCACGATATAACGACCCAAGTTATCCAGTATGGTTTTAGAGCCCAACATGTCTTTGAACAACGCGAATGCATTGAAAAATGTGGGTTCTGGCGTAAGCTCGAATGATGGATTTCCAAAGGAAAATACTTTTACACATGAAGAACAAAATCTATGCACTTAATTAAAGAACAAAACAAAACTTGTGCACATGAAGAACAAAACTTATGCACTTAAAAAAAAACTTATACAGTTAAAAGAACAAAACTCATGCACATAAAGGTTCAAGGTTTATGCACCTGAAGGTTCAAACTTATACATCTCAAAGTTTAAAGTTATGCATCATAAATATAAAAAGTAATTTTGCTACTAGTTCAAACTTTGAGTGGAGTAGTCAAAGTTCTTAACCTCAAAAATACTCCGGCAGGTAATGATAACTCAGTTATTCATATCAAATATACATTGGAGAAAAAGGGCTAGAAAACAACACGATCATTACCTTTGGTGCAGAAGAAAAACAAAGTTTTAGCTCACTCGAACTCATCAACACTAGTAGTCTAGTACATTTACAATAATCCAGAAAATGCATGTATAAAGTTCCATGGGGAAAAGCCTACAATGAACAAGATTACGCGATAATAAGATATTGTTGTAATGCCCATGAGGAAATATATTGCATGGTAATCACCTTAACATGTCTAGTAACTAGATAGGAAAAACAAACCACCAGTGGCTGACATTACAAGCACTTGGATTCTAATCTCAATATATGAGATTCAGATCCTCAACAAATGCTATTTAAAAAAAAAAAAAAAAAAAAAAAAAGGTTCGAATTTATACACACACACACACACACATAATAGATACATACCTAAACCACATTCAGATGAATCCACGAATAACCTTTTGAGGGTCTAATTGCCCGCTGCAATAACTTGAAGAAACCGTAGACAGCTCTTGACGGCCCTTCCACTCTTCAAAGGGTTTCAACACAATTGGAGTTTCAATTACAGCAGAATCCAAACATAGCATTGTTTTGTAATCTTCATCGCCTAAATCTGGAAGGGCCTTGGATTTTTTGTCCCAAGGGTTCCACACAACTGTAAAGAAGAAATTCACATTTAAAAAAAATAAAATAAAATCGTGTTATCAAAATCAATATGTTTGAAAGCTACAGGATTAGCAATACGCACCTGCATCTGGCATGCCTTCTTTACGGAGAACAAAGGTCCTCTTTTTCTCGTGGTCTATTATGGCAATTTTTGTTGGTGTGCTCAAATATGCTCGATCAATCTTACAAAAGAAAAAACATAAAATATTTAAGCTTACATAATGCAGTATATTTTGAGTAAATAATAATTACTTATTATCACAACAAAGGGAATCAAACTGAACTAAGAGCTGATTGATATCAGAGAAGTTCATGTGCAATCCACAGAATAAACAGAGGCTGAGCACAACAATAATACCTCACCATCGAAGGTAATTGCATCTGCCTGTTCTGTGTACCTTTCTCTCTCCAACATATTGTCCAAGTAGTCTAGTGTCTCCAACCCCTCAACACGGACTTCACTGCAAGTCAAACAGCATCATGCAACCTATCTGGAAAGGATAGTGAAGTACCTAGCTAAATTCAGCTACTAAGAGTAAAAGAAGAAGGGAGAATTCATCACAGAATGGATAAACAACAGCTTGAATGTGGGAAATTTACTAAAGTCTAAAACTCTTAAAAGGGAGAAGAGCAGGTACTACAAATTTCAACCTCAGAAGCGTAAAAGTAACATGTAAACCGCAAGGTAAACCTGATGTCAGACACGGACAAATAATTTTTCAGTGCGAACGAAAATGAGAATGGCTTGTTATCTGAATTCCTCACGTGAGGGATGAAAGTGAGCTTGCCCGCACTGAGAGAAATGCGTAGCCGCAACTCAAATCTGCAGTGGATAATTTTAAAAGCCATAAATTAGATAGATGTTGCGTGAGAATCAATGCATCAGCCTACAGACAAACATGTAGAGTAATACCTATGTGGCCAAGCCTTTAAATCTTCATCTGTGGATTTCAAAATGAGATCCACAGTTGACTGATTGTTTGCAGGGGGCAGAGGAGAAGGAGAGTTGTCCAATGACCACAATCTGTTTCTTGCAAATCCATGTTGTTCCAGTGGACCAAAATTTGAAAACTATAAAACATATGTTACAGTTAAAATTGAAAGACTTAGACAAGGATACAATTTCAAGAATCTTGCTAGTTCTAATAAAGGCCCAACCTGTGGAAAGCAGATGGGAACACCACCTCTGACAGCTTTTGGAGGTTTCCATAAGGCCTGTGAGTTAATGAAGGAACCAAATTTTAAGTGCATGGAAGATGAAAAGAATCAAACAAGAAAAAGAAGTAAGCCAATATGCAGGTGAACGAGAGGGCATAAGACTAAAGTGAAGCCCAAGTGTCTGCGAAAACATAGTATTCAATTTCTTATGGATTCTAATCCATTTGTGAACATAGTAGAGAAGTCTGGTTGGATAGGTCTTTTAGTAAAGAGATTTAGAGTATTGAAAGCTGTACCTTACTACTCATGAATAGCAGCTCTTCTCTTCGTTCATTCTTCCAAGAGACAACTTGTCCACCATACAAACGAACCTGAAGCAAAGGAGTCATAAAATTTGGTGATACAAACAACTTTGAGATTCCCCACAAAGTAGTTTCCTTGATTCTTGAAGCATCACACTTAAACTCACAAGCATAATCAAAGCTACAACGAATTTAGGTCTCTTCATAACATTTAAACTTTAAAGGTTACCACAACAGACACCTTTTGGAGACCAAATATATACAGTAAAGTCCTTCCAGATATATATACAGATATACTGAACTCTGCATAATTTTCAGTTCACTAGTCCCCTCTGAATCAGAAAATTAATCATTCAATATTGTCTCTATCCTGTTACAACTATTAATATCACTATATCAGTAGACTAGACATGAAAGAACAGAATTTTGCACTCATTTCATGAAGAATTTCAAACTGAGTGATGATATAGCACATACAATCGTTAAAAAAACAAAAAAAAAATCAAAGTTTTGAAGAAAAAGCACAAACCTCGGCAGTTGATCCAGTGGGCTCGGATAATATAATTCGTGAAGGCGATCCATCGACATAGGGTGTTATGTTCACTTGCATAGCTTTTGGTTGCAATTTTCTTCTTAATCTTCTGAAAATTAATGGGTACGCTTTCTCTCGTCTCCACTCCAACTCCAGGTACACCCTCCTTTATATGTGCAATGAAATTTCAACAAAAAGTAGGCAACCACTCAAAAGAAGGAAAACGCTCTAGAAACCCTAAATTACAGGGCAGAAATGCAAACAATAATCTGTTTTGGAATACTCTGAGCAGATGAGAAATTTTGAGGATAAAATCAAGCAATTGATCAACACTGAACATGAGATCGAAGACAAATTGAAGGAGGAAAATGCAGAGATTGAAGAGAGAAATCTTACGTTTTCTGCAGTGATTTGTATAGTGTTATTAAATCCTGTTTTTAATGGAAAATTGGCCTTTGCGTTTGAAGAACAGTCCACCAACTCCGACTTCATGAGAACGGAACATATTTATACTGCATGTTTATGCATTACAGATGGAAAGAGAAACGAATAAATTATTTGGATGTCTATCTTTTTAGTATTTGGTACATTTTTTTCAATTAAAAGTAAAATAAAAATATTTTAATATTTAATTATATATATTTTTTAAATTTTTTTGAAATGTTTGGCAAGTGACTGATAGCTGATAGCGGAGCTTTTGGTAATTGGCTGTTTATTTTTAGCTGATTGTATGTAAAATGACCTATAAGAACATAAATATATTGTGCTAATTTATTAACACCGGGTTCAATCTTGTGACATTCCCTCAAGGGGAGCCACAGAGGTGCCATCTAAGCACAAGGCGCTTGACATTATTATTATTATTATTATTATTATTATTATTATGAGTGAAATCAAAAAGAAAAAAATATATTATGATGGTTGTTACGGAAATAAAAAGAAAAGGGACAAGGCAAATGAAAAACATCAATAGAGATATAAATGTTAGGGATGAAAAAGGTAAAATGATAGCAGAGTATTATTCGTTGTAACGACATGGTGGCTCTGGAAATGGAGAAACGAGGCAATCTTCAATAACTCCAAAAAACCACTAAATGTTAAGATCTCCTGGATAAAACTACAGCTAGACGAGATTAGCAAAGCTTTCCGAAGGGCGAAAGGCGTATCATCCTATCCAGACCAGACATCGTGGAAGCAAGTATGCTGGACCAAACCTCCGCAGGAATTTGTGAAAGTCAATATAGATGGATCAGTTAATCCATCCACAGAAAAAGCTAGCTGTGGGGGAGCCTTTAGAGATAGCTCTGGGAAATAGCAGATGGGCTTCACCTACAGCATTGGCAATTGCTCACCACTAGAAGCCGAGGCATGGGCCCTCTTGAAAGGAATTCAATTAGCTTCATCAATGGGATATAGGAGAGCAATATTCAAAAGTGACGCAGAGGAAATCACACGATACATAAATGGAGAGGATAGACCAAGGATTGCGGCCCACAACATATTAGAAGCCTGCAAGAAGGAATTACGAAACATGGAGATTTGGCAAATAGAGCATATAGTTCGGGATCAAAACCATGCAGCGGACGCCCTTGCAAAGATCTCTGCCCGTCTCCCGCTTGGCTTGCATAACCTATGGAAGCCACCTGATGAAGTTCTAGGACTTATTGAAGACGATAGTGTTGGTGTGCCAAGATGGCGAGAGCTTAGTATTCCAAGTTAGAACAATTGTATTCTCTTTGGGTGTCCCCCTTCCAACTTAAATAAATAAAAAAAAGGTAAAATGATCATTTCATAATTAAGGCCAATCAGTTAACCAAAAACTCTATTCTTCTTAATTTTTTAGATTTTAACTTATTGTCCCACCAAGACTATGTGGTCTAATGGTATCTGGGTTGGACTTTCATTTGAAAAGTTGTAAGTTCAAGCCTCAGTGGAGGGGCTAATTTATATTTTTAGAAATAATTCAATACTATTAACTATTCGGATATGTATCAAAATTTTTCTATCATTGACATGGTAATAAAATCCTGTTTATTCACTGGTTATCTTAAATTGGGCAACCACACCTTGCATTAGAACAACCAAGGACCTTGTAGTCCAATGGTACTATGTTGCTCCCCTATGTAAAAGGTGATAGATTCAAGCCTCAATTGAGGCATTTGATGTAATAAGGTATGCCCTTCCTATAAATATAAATAACCTTGTATTAAAATAGTAATATATTTGCTTTGAAAGTAGTGGATCAGTGGATTGCCTCCAAACCGGTGACCATTTCTGATGGAGTCGCGAGGGCCAACCTGGCTAGCCGCAATCCAAACCGGTGACCATTTCTGATGGAGTCGCGAGGGCCAACCTGGCTAGCCGGTCGGCTGCAACATTCTGTTCCCTGCCAACATGAATTACTTTCCATTGGGCCAACCTGGCTAGCCGGTCGGCTACAACATTCTGTTCCCTGGCTACATGAATTACTTTCCATTCTTGAAGGTAGGACAACTCAAAAATGCAGGCAGAGATCAATGTATATGTGAAGTTTAGGAATCTTTTGCCACTCATTTTGGGGCTGACTATCTCCTTTGCGTCGAGCTCAAATATGACACACCTCAGCTTTCTGCGTTTAGCCATTTGAATACCCTTTGAGCAACGCCCAAGACTCGGCTTCCTCCGGCTGACTCGTCCTCAAACCAACCATAAAACCCTCAAGCCAGTTGCCATTCTCATCTCTCGCCACACCACCGGCCCCTGCAAAGCTATTTCGCTCAGAAAATGCACCATCTGTGTTTATTTTTACCCATCCTTGAGGAGGCTTAACCCAGCTAACCAATCTCCAAGTCAAATCCAAGCCAATACTGCCTGCCACTCGAGCTCGGGAGTAAGCTCTGTTAATTTCCACAAACTGCTTTCTGATCCAGTCAACTTTGGCCTCCAACGATCTTCTATGGTTATTGAAAGTAGCCTCGTTCCTCCACTTCCAAAGTCACCATAATGTAATGGCGAAGGAAATGCTATGGTCCGGGTGTCGGGTACCTCTACTCCAACCCAATATACCTCTATCAAACCATTGAGTAAAAGAACCTGCAAGGTCCACTTGGTGGTTAAAACCTGCAGCGAGCTAGACCTCCAATGAACAAACCTGCAGCGAGCCAAACCTGCCTTGAATGTTCATTTTAATATATTATGGATTAATTTTTAAATAGTATACTAAAAATGAATCTTCAAAAACTGGACATGCAGTATATTAAAAATGAACATTTAATATATTAAAAATGAATATGTATATCAAGGATCTATTTTGTAATGTGAATAATGGTCCACGATATAATGATTAGAGTACCATGGAGACATTATCTTGTAGTACCCAATACAAACATAAGTCTTATTATTCACTTATGGAGTCCTGGGCGGTATCTTTAGCAATTAATATCCAAAAACAAGGGAATTTAATTTATGAAAAAATAATTCCCACAAATTTCAGTCCAATTTTGAAAAAAAAAAATGAAAAATCCAAGACGTGTGACACTTACACATTACTTAAAATTGATTAACTTTCTCTTAAGAATACACTACTGGAAATTATGAAATTTTCGACCACCTGAAAGTGATCTTAAATCAAGTCGAAAGTCTTGTTCTGACCACTTTTGGTATCCGGAAAAACATTTGTTGCTATTTTCGACCACTTTTTAGTATCAACTTGATTTAAGATCACTTTCAAATGGTCGAAAATTTCATAATTTCCAGTAGTGATATTAGGAGCATTGAAGCATTGATTTTTCATGATACAATGAATTATAATGTTATATATGAATATCCGAACACTCAAATAAAACGTCCGGTGAACTTTACCAAAATGATAACACTTCGTAACTTTTGTAGGAATGTTGACCGAATTTAGTTGAAAAAAAAAAAAGATATTTTGTAAGAGTGGAAAATTAGGGGGCCGTTTACTAATTGGAAATTTCTGAAAATTTTTGGAAACTGAAAAATAGAAAATAGAAAACAGAAAACATGTTTACTAACACAGTTTTCAATTTTGAAAACTGAAAATAATTTCTGAAAAACTGAAACACACTTAAAAACTGTTTTCGAAATGGAAAACAGAATCATCTATCATCTATCATCTATTTAGTTATATGTCACTATAACCACATTACTATGATTATTCATCATCTTATTTTACTTATCACTATCTTCTATCTTTTCTACTTACTTTACTTATTTAAACATAATTTATTTGCTTACACTTTAAAGTTAGACATTATTACATTATCAAAATTAAGAATTAAACTCTATATAATATTTTAGATTTTGATTGAACTCAATAGATTATTAGTTCGAATATTTTTAATTATGTTACATCATAAATTCATAATACAAGTTCAGTCTAGATATCGGATATTGAAATTTCACATATATTAGAATTTAAAGTAAAAGTTATATATTAATATACATGTCATTCAAATGAATATATCCAAAAAATATTTTAAATATTAGCTCAAAAAAATATTAATATTATCTAAACTAAATTTTAGGTGAAAACTAAAAAATTAGAAAATAGAAAACAGATAACAGTTTTCAGTTAGTAAACAAGTTTTCTAAACGGAAAACAGAGAATGGAAAATAGAAAATGAAAACTGAAAAATTATAAAATAAAAAACAAAGAACAGTTTTTTGTTGGTAAACGGACCCTAGAGGTTTTGATTTGTTTTTAAAGATGGATTAAAACATTCTCAACACAAAGCATTTATAAAAGAAGTGAAATTCATTAGCACTAATGACATTCAAATTTGAATTTAAAATTCACTTCATAACTCCCAAAATTGTCAAAATTAATCAGATTAATTATGATGTTACAAAGTGAATTCTCATATTAAAATTAGAATTAATCACAATTAATTGCGAAATAAATAAGAATTAACTCAATAATTTTCAGTACGTTGTAGATTCAACCATACGAGTTGAAATAACATAGGTTTATGAAACCCTTACTGTCCACAACAATAAGAGCATGGTCATTTTATTATTAAAAATAGATGTCATGTCTAATAGTTTAATTTGGACCTTCATCGTTTGATTTTCTGAGATTCAATCTAAATAAGTAAATATAGAGTAAAATTACAATCTAAATATAATTGAGTAAAACGAGAAAGACAAAGACAATAACAAAGGCCCCATTATGGGACTCGTAAACTAAAAATGGATAATCACTATTGTTATGTGCATGGCCAATAAAACTATAGTCCACCATTTTAGTACTTATTTTTATTTTATTTAGTGTTGGCACTTGGCATCGTTACCTTTTGCAATACACCCACACTTTCAAATATTGATAGGAAGGTCTCCAACTTTTTTCACGACTCATAAGGAGTTTTGTCGAGTTTATTGCGGGGTACATCATTCAAAAGGTAGTTACTTCACAAAATTGTCTCACCCCACGTATTTTGGGGTAAACCTAAACTTATCAACATCACATTCATAATCTCTTTCAATGTGCAGTTTTTACGTTCAACGACACCTTCTGATTGGGGTGAATACAATGTTGTATGCTCATGTACGATACTGTTTTGCAAACAGTAATTACCAATTGGTGTTTGAAACTCACCACCTCAATTACTTCTAACTGCCTAAATTTTCCGATTAAGTTGGTTTTTCTTCTTCATTCTTATAAAGAATGCATTTATTAATGTCTTCGTCTTTGCTCTTAAGAAAATACACATATATAGTAATATCATGTGCTATTGTTGATAGAGGTAATAAAATATTTATTACCACCTCACATTTGTATTGATTTAAAATCACATACATCGCTATACATTAATTCAAAGATCTGTTTGCAAACTCAAAAAATGATTTTTGAAAGTCATTTTTATGATTTTTCCTTGTTTGGGTATTCAAAAAGAAAATATGGTCAAAGGAAAATATTCCTTTTGATCAACAGAAAAAATGTCAATTTTAGCAAAAAATGTCTTCCTAAATATTTAATAGGAAGACATTTTTTGAATTCTTTATTTTCTCATCTCTAGAGTATTAGAATAATGAGTGTCAAACAAGACAACTATGCATTACCTAATACTATACGCCATGGCACTCAATTAAGTCCTCAACTATTCAATTATTACTTAATAATTCACAAATCAATCAGACTTTATTAAGTAAGAATTGAATAGTTGAGGATTTTATTGAGTAAGAATTGAATAGCTGAGAACTTAATTTCCAAAACTTGATAGTCGAGGACTTATTTTTGAATTACTATAATCGAATGACCATTTTGGATATTTACTTTAAAACTGAGAATAGAAATGGACAACTTACTGTTGTATATATTTGTACGACAAAATTGAATAAGTAAAACTAAGTGGCTTGTGGTCCACTGATATCCGGTTTGTTCCTTTATATGGGAGGTCTAGAGTTTTCGCCTCGATGTAGGCGAATATTGTATTAGAGTTATCATAATTGACATGTTGTAATAGTTTATTAATATATTATTCTTAAAATGTACAATGTAAATGTCTCTCTCTGAAAATAAAATTAAAAAAAGGAAAGATAAACTCTAAACACATTAAGAAAATATCTGCTAATCAAACAACATGAAACGTAAATATAAAATATAAATCATTTAACATGATTTACTCGTGGTCCCGAAAAATAAATAAATTGGGTATAAGGTGTCTCATGCCTATTAATTATGACTATACGGGAAGGTTCAATCGAAACAACAAAAACAAACAAATCTGGGCGTAGTTACTAGTGCCACGTACATTTCTTTTGTATTTGGTATTGTGCATCAAAGGCAACATCCAATAACTTGTTTCCACATCTTCATGTCACGTCAGTGACAACAAATATTTGAGTACAACTCAAGTGTCTGCAATGATTCAAAATAAAGATGTTCATGTCGTGCCACGAGTCAATAAAATTTTGGAAGACAATTTGTTATGATATATTGATATTTGATATTTGATGACTCTTATTTTATATTATTACTAGTTTTATACGCGTATTGCATGAATGAGTTAATGTCATATGTAAGATTATATATGAGAAGTTCATACATAAGTAATTTACTGTCAAATTTGTTTATTTAAATATGTAACTCATAGTATATAAATACAATGTAATATATGAGATTCATTATAATTGTGACAAAACTTTTTTAAATAGTAACCTAGTATTTTTATTGCAAATGGTTCTAGTAATATTTAATGAATGCACATATATACAAGATCAATGAATGAATCAACGGTACCAATCATTTAAGGGGGCGTTTGGTTCAGGTTATATAACATAACCAAGGGAATGTGACATTCCAAAGTTCACATTCCGGTGTTTGGTTCATATTATCTTAGGGAATCTAACATTCCCAAAGAATGTCACATTCCCTCCACATAGGATTTTGAAGGGAATGTGATTCCCTTCAAAATCTTAGGTAATGTAAGATAACCTTGGTTATGTTAGTTTATATATATATATATATATATATATATATATATATATATATATATATATATATATATATATATATATATATATATATATATAATTATTTTATTATGTTATGTTAACATATAAAATAATTTTGTTTCTCAAGTTCAAGATTTTAGTTAATATTTTAAAATCATGTAATTATATATGATACCGTTATCTTATTTATTTATTTTAATTTTTAAATTTATTAAAATATATGAAAATATGTTAAGGATATTATAGTGTGTATAAAAGATAACTCTAAACCAAACGTGATTATATTACATACCCCAATTTTAACCAAACACAAGAATCTAACATTCCTAGAACATTCCCAGCAATCTAACATTCCCTAAGGTAATCTGACATTCCGTGAACCAAACGACCCCTAAGTGTTTTGCTCTGTGTTCATTTGGTTCAACCATTATTGTTGAATAAATTATTATGGATAAAGAAATTCATAATTTAAGGAATTTAGATGAAGTAGTAAAAATTTTAAAAATTGTAATAATTATAATGTAACCCAAAGATCAAAATTCAAGTGTTTGGTTATTCAACAGTTTGAAGCAACAATTTGTTTCAAGCCAATGAAAATACAAACATTGCAATTTACAATATTTTCACTTAGCGTTTTTGAGAATGATTTTTCCAAAAATCTCTATATTAAATAAAGTAAATAAAAAAATTATTATAGAACCATTTCGACTCCTTGAATAACAAGAGCACTGCATGCCCATAAACGGATGTGCAACCTTAATTTTTAAATTGGAGCCTTAAGGCTCTTTTTATAGGAGCCTCAAGGCTCCCATGCTACTTTTCTCACCGATGTGGGAAAAATGACAAAACTAAGAGAAGCTGAACGTTCGGTTCCCATATGTTTTATTTTTTTTTATTTTTAAAATTTTGTTTCTTTTATTAAATTATTGTTATTTTTATTTTTATTTTTTAAAACTATTATTATTATTATTATTATTATTATTATTATTATTATTATTATTATGTCATTTTACATGTTAATCTAAACAGTTAATTTTTTCAAATATCTTTTTACCAATCATTGATATAATTCGCTGGTCAAATCCGCTAATATAATTCGCTAACTATTGATTGTTAAACAAAGACATTGCGAGATAGTTTTCCACTTCAATTTGTTGAGTGATTTGAATACTCTTTTTGTCAATAAATCCCTCAAGTAGTTAATATGATTGACTTAATTATATTTTTTTAATTTTTTCATGGTATTAATAAAATACTTGGTAAATAAATATATAGTATTATTTTGTATTATAACGTATTTAATTAAAAAATAGGGCACACAAAAGATAATAAACAATGTAGTGAATGTAATCAATTGATGAATTTGAATATAAGAATTTTTACATTGAAGAAAAATAAAGACAATATAACTAATGAAATTATTTCTCTTAATTAATTTGTTGATAATGAACAATTTTTATTTTTTTTTGAATAAAGACATTGTAGGGACGATGTAGCGAATATAATCAATTGATGAATTTGAATATAATGAATTTTTATATTGGAAAAAAATAAAGACAATATAACTAATGGAATTATTTCTCTTATTTCATTTATTGATAGTGAATAATTTTCTTTTGAATAAAGACATTATAGACACATAATTCTAAATAAAAGAAATGCATGTTTATTATTATTATTTTTTTTTGTTGTAGCTACTAACTTATTATCTACCATACTAATATTTTTTGTTGTAGCTACTAACTTATTATCTACCATACTAATAAGAGTAAAATAGAGTACTAATTATGTCAACTTTGATTGGGATGTGGTTCGAACCTAAGACATTTCTTATTAACCACAAATAATTGAGATGTGGTTTGAATATACTATACTTAAATTATGAATCTACAATTTAGAAATTATGAATTTACAGTATAGAGCTCATGAATATACATTATAGAAATTATGAATCTAGACTTGTGTGCACCATGCATAACAATAGCTTGCTTATGTGAGGTTATCATATTAAAATATTATTTTTTTAATTTTATTTTAATAATTTAATATAACCAAAATAAAATAATTTTTTTTAAAAAAAACTTTCTGGCTTCGTATCCGGGCTGCCAAACTTCGTCTTCGGTAGCCGGGAGACGGTAGCCTAGTGACGAAGAGAGGTCCTTCGTCTCCGGGCTACCGGAAACAAAGACACAGTCTTCATCTCAGTCTTCGTCTCGGGCAGGAGATGAAGCCAGAAAACCTGTTTTTTTTTTTTTTTTTTTTTTTAAATAAATTTTTTGATATATTTAATTATTAAAATAAAAAATATTATTTTAATATTGCAACTTTCACATAAGCAAGCTAACAAGTAAACAAGTCATTTATGATTCAATTGCATCATTACGTTGTTCAGAGATTCAATTACATTTTTTTTCAAATTTAATAGCTTAATTGTATTTTCGTGTGTAGTTGAATGAACTATTTGACCCTTAATCCTAATCCTAATATATTTATATAGAAAATTAGAAATAGAAATTGTTATCTTTTGGCGGGAAGGTAGTTCGGTGTGTTCAAGGATTGAATGTTGTGTGTACTCCGTATATCATAAGCTTTCAAGGATACAATTCATTTCTTCACAACAATGAACGCTATCACAAAAGCGAAGAAGCCTTATTTTCCATCTAAAACCACAGGTTTTGCCACCCAACAGCCTCCAAATCCAATTTCTTCGAGCCATGATCATCGAAATCTCGCCGAAACCCATTTCATATCACTCATCCACTCCTCCAAATCCACTCCCCAGCTCAAATCCATCCACGCCCAAGTCCTCCGCCGCGGCCTCCACATCGCCAACTCTAGAATCACCACCCAGCTCATCTCCGCCTCTTCTCAGCATGGGTCCATAAATTACGCCCTCTCCATTTTCCGCTCTTCTTGCTATCGGAACTTGTTCCTTTTCAATGCAATGATCAGGGGACTTTGCGAGAATTCGTGTTTCGAGAGCTCGATCGAGCATTTTAAGCTTATGTTGAGGCTTGATGTGCGGCCTGATAGGCTTACGTTTCCGTTTGTGCTGAAGTCGGTAATGGGTTTGCGTGGGAAACGATGTGGGGTTGTGTTGCATTGCGGGATTTTTAAAATGGGTCTTGATTGTGACTCGTTTGTGAGGGTTTCTTTGGCCGATATGTACGTGAAAATTGGGTTATTGGATTTTGCCTTGCAGGTGTTCAACGAAAGTCCTGAGAAGAATAAGGTTGAGAGTGTGCTATTGTGGAATGTGGTAATCAATGGGTGTTGCAAGGTTGGGAAGCTGAGTGAGGCAGTCCAGTTATTCGAGGCAATGCCAGAGAGGAACGCTGGCTCGTGGAATAGTTTGATAAATGGGTTGATGAGAAGTGGGGAAGTGGACAAGGCAATTGAGTTTTTTGATGGGATGGACGAGAAGAACGTGGTTTCTTGGACTACTGTGATTCATGGATTGATGCTGAATGGGCTTCACGAGAAGGCTCTGGAGTTGTTCTTTAAGATGGTGGATATAGGTGTCAAGCCCAATGATTTGACTATCGTTTCTGCCCTTTCTGCCTGTGCAAAAATTGGGGCACTTGAGGCAGGGATAAGAATCCATAATAACATGTTGAGCCACAGGTTCAAGATGAATGCTGCCGCTGGAAATGCTTTGCTGGATATGTATGCAAAATGTGGGGATATTGAGTCTGCTAGTCAGGTGTTTAATGGGATGAAAGTGAAAGATATACGTACTTGGAGTGTTATGATTTGGGGTTGGGCAATCCATGGATGTGTTGATAAGGCCATTCAGTGCTTTGAAATGATGATCTTGTCAGGTTCATTCATAGTATCACTTGTTTCTAAGTTGGCTTATTTGGAAGATTCTTTACCAAATTGTAACATTGATTTCATGTAATGCAGGAATCAGACCTGATGAAGTTGTTTTTCTGTCTGTTTTAACTGCATGCTCACACGCTGGAAGGGTGGATCAGGGTCTCAACATTTTTAATAGCATGAAGGTTATATACTCTATGGTGCCAACCATGAAACATTATGCTGTGATAGTTGATCTATATGGCCGGGCAGGCCAGCTGGATGAGGCTTTGAGATTTATTGAAAGAATGCCATTGGAGCCTGACCACATCATTTGGGGGGCACTCTTTTGTGCTTGCAGAGCTTGTAAAAATATTGAAATGGCAAAATATGCCACAGATAAACTCCTGAAGCTTGAGCCAAAACATCCTGGCAGCTATATCTTTCTTTCAAATGTTTATGCTGGCGTGGGCAAATGGGATGATGTTGAAAGGGTAAGAACTTCGATGAAGAGTAAAGATGTAGAGAAAGATCCTGGATGGAGTTCAATGGAGGTGGATGGTCAGGTGCATACCTTTGTAGCTGGCGATCGTGCTCACAGCCTAGCCTGTGAGATATATGCAAAATTAGAGGACATAACAACATGTGCTAGACAACAAGGTTACATGCCTGAAACTGAGTGGGTCCTTCATAACATTGAGGAGGAAGAAAAGGAAGATGCCTTAGGAAGTCATAGCGAAAAGTTGGCACTTGCTTTTGGGCTTATCAGTACTGGTCCTAGTACAGTCCTTAGGATTGTCAAGAACCTGAGAGTCTGTGGGGATTGCCATTCTCTGATGAAACATGTCAGTAAGATGAACCAAAGAGAGATTGTTCTGAGAGATATTAAGAGATTCCATCATTTTAAAGATGGGGTTTGCTCATGCCATGATTACTGGTAGCTGTAACATCCAGGGTTCAACAACAGACACCTGCTTCCTTAGTTCCTCCAAATCTTCCTTCGTATTTGAATATGATTCCTAGGAATCTGATTACTCCAGAACCAGGTACAACCTTGTGTAACCTACCCTCCCACCCAGGCAACAACCTTGGTTTGCCAAGTGGATGCAGCTTTGTTTCCACAAGAAGAAAAGGTCTCTTTTGGAGCAGTGCTACTAACACACAATGGGAACTTCATTGCTGCAACAAATGGCATCATCGACTACCCTCAATCCCCGGTGCTGGCAGAAGCACAAGGATGCAAGGAAGCCCTCTCCTGGTTAAAAGACTGGAATGTCAAGAATCTACGGTTGGAAACTGATTGTTTGAACACGGTAAAAGAGCTGAAGGACAGTACTTCAAACAGCTCGCATATAGGTCTTATTATCCACGAATGCAAAATTTTAATGGCCAACTTTGAATCAGTAGCATGTGTTTATGTTAGGATATCAGCGAACCAGATTGCCCACACACTAGGCTAGGGTAGCTGACTTTCAGTCTGACTCTCACAGTCCCACCTAATTGTATTCGTTCTTTTTTTCCTAACTTTCATTAATAATAGTATTCTTTCTTGGTTGTCAAAAAACAAAAAAAAAAAAAAAGAATATTAGAAGATCTGTTTCATAAGTTTTGGGAAACTTTAGTACTCATCAAAAGAATAAGAATGATGACAAGAAAGGTTATTGGGAACTTTAACCTGGTATTGTTGCTGGGGCATGATGTTTAGGAGTGTATATAGCCCTAAAGAGATTATTGTAGTTCAGAATCAGGTTCCAAGTAACGGAATAAATTAAATGAATAAGTGGTTTTTGGTATTCTTTTCTTTCGAGTTTTGATGGTCAATTACTATGCTTCCACGACTTTAGTTTTACCAGTTGGGTATTCGTTTCTACAAGAAATCTTTTTCTTTATTCGTGATAAGTTTCACTCATCTGTAATTCTACAACAGCCTGTAAGGATTTATAAAATTTTAAGCTTGCATTTATGGTCAAGTCATGCACAAATATACTGTGTCTATGTCATTATAGCCATGAGCCTTGGCCTAGTTCACAGTCAAAAGTGTTCGCTCAGTTTCCGTAGATTTCATCAACAAATGGTTAATTCTTTTGTTCAATTTTTGTCTCTTTACACAGTAGAAATCTTCTTTACACCTAGAGAAGTTTCAGTATTAAGTGCAATAAATTTCATACAGGAACTGGGTATAGTCTACAATTAAAATATTCCTACTAAAAATGTTCATTTTGTTATAATTAGAATTAACAAAAATGCTTGCATGTACACTCACACACATAATTTCCTTGCTGTTTTTCCTAGAAGTTTCAAGCTCTGTACCTTCTCTCGATTGATGTCAACGGAGAACTTTTGTTTACATTCTAATACACTTCAATTGTCTTGCCATGAATTACTCACTTAATACCTGCCCTGTTGCCATGAGTTACTGGCTTGATAAATCTTTCTTGCCCACACTCATAAAATGCATGGTAACAAGCATTATTCTTTTACAGTGAGGCCATCTTCTTTATTGTCTCAAGGATTTCTTTTGCTTTATTGTCTATTTAACTTGCAGAGCTTAATAACAATGGTTGTGTAAATTTAAGGTGTTGAACCAGTGAAGAAAAAATTATGTTGACTTTCGTTTTCTTATATCTATGTCTGTAATGATTTGTAGGGAGCATGCTTGTAAATTGAAAGTGAAAGAAGAGGAAGAGAACAAAGAGAGAGAGAGATAGAAGGTACACCCTCATATAACTTGGTTACCACTCCCCTCTATAAATCTGTCACTTTTCTTTTAGAGTTGGATTTGTGTGTCTTCTGTGTTCTTTAAATCTCCATCCGTTATTATCTTTAGCTATTCGTCCATCAATTTATAGCGCATGACAAATTATTTCACATTTGGCTCCAGAAGTTGGAAGAGGATAAGGTTGGTGCCTATGTTAAAGTTGTTTTGTTTTAATGTGAAAATTATTGTAGCTCAATGAATATGGATGTATTTCTATTTAGTTACGTCAGATGAAAATGAAAATAGCCGGTTCAAGTCAGTATAACTGTTCATTTTGGATTGTTTTTTTGGTGTTTTGAGCCTTACTGTCTCAGTTTTGACATTACTGTAACCTGGACTCTTAAGATAACTATTTTAATTGTACAGAGAATTTTTATTCCTTTGTTTTCCCTTTACCCCTCTTCTGAAGTTTTACCTAGACATCTGACTCAGGATAAAATCATCTGGGGACTGGAAGAAGATGGTGCTTTCTCAGTTAAGAGCTGTTACAAGGCCATCCATGGTGATATTAGAGAGGAGGATATCCAACGCTGGAGCAGCTTATAGCAACACAAAGTTCCCCCCAAGCTCAAGATTTTCTTATGGCAAGCTTGTACCCAGTGCCTACCAACAAAAAATAATCTGATGAAGAAGCAAGTAAACTGTGATGACAAATGCATTCTGTGTAGAAATAACAAAGAATCCATTTACCATCTTTTTGTGGAGTGTGACTATGCAAGATCCTGCTGGAACCAGTTGAGAATTCAATTACCAACTGGAAATGTTGACAGCCTTCACACTTGGATCAGCAGTTTGGCAGAAAATGTATCAATTCATCAAACTCTAAGGAACAATGCGGTGGAAGAGAAATGGTCCAAACCGAAGTGTGACTTCCTGAAGTTGAACGTTGATGCTGTTGCTATTGAGAAACAAAGAGGCTGTATGGGACTCGGATGTGTGCTAAGGAATGACAGAGGTCAGTTTGTTGCAGCCAGAGGAGTTCAATGGAAAGGCGTTTACTCTTCTAAGGAAGCAGAAGCTGTAGCAATTAAAGTCTCTCAGCTGATTCAAATCCTTTAACACCAACAAAGTGATCGTTGAGACTGACTCCCTTCAAGTGGTTCAAAGTCTTAGTTCTAGTATATGTGACTCTTCTTTCCATTTAGTGTTGTATGACATTAAAAACATGTTGAGTTTGTTTACTCATTATAGTTTAATATTCACTAAGCAATCTGTGAATCAGACATCTCATCTCTTAGCTAGGCAGTTTGTTTCTATGTCTGATTGCTCGGAATGGTTTTCGAACCTTCCGTCTATCATCTGTAATGTTTTGTCTTCGGACTTGAATTAATTTATTATCCTTTGCCAAAAAAAAAAAAAAAAGTTTCAACGTTTTTCCCTTGGTACTTGGTGTGATATGGTGAAAATCATTTGTCCTGTTTTCATTTATTTTCTTGATGATTTCATTGTCTTCTGACTTGTGGTTGGGCCATTAAGAGTCTAGTACAAAGAAGAATAGACCTCTGAAAGAGATGTTAATGGGGAGGGCTCACCAAGTGCTTCTTTTGATTTTAGTTGTGTCTATCAGTTTAGGTTGCAAAAAATACTTTTCTTTCAGCATGAATTAAAAAAGTTGAGTTGCTTCTCAATGGAGCTAATGCTGCATTTACTAGCTTAATTTTTCTTTGACGGACAGACCAACAAATTCAAATGTGAAGTTCCATAAAATTAGACTCAGCAATCCTGTGAGTCAGGTGAGCATATGCAATAAGAAAGCAAATGAAGTATTTGGTTGTAGTTAATGACTTTTGTTGTTTACTGCTCACTCTTACTACATGAGTTTGACTGCTCACTCTTATTACATGAGTTTGAATTGGGTGTTCGTACAGCTTTTCTACGAGATTCCAAGGTTTGCTGCATCACTTTAGAGTTTTCTAGCACTTGTATATAACATCGCATAGTTTGTAGAATAGTCTAGAGACATGTACATAGCAATTAGAGGCTATAGGGATGCTTGAAATATTCTAAAACATTAGAGAATATGATTGTGTAGAGATTTTGGAGGATTCTAGAGAGCAAATCCAAGTCGTAAGAGTAAGTAGATCTACACATCCATTGAGGATGTGAAATTGGTATAAATACCTCTAAGGGCCTCATTTGTAACAAGTAAGTGCTCAAGTAATCCAAGTCCTTACAAGTTTTCGAGTGCTTTTATGAGATACTTGCCTAACTCACTTTTCTAACCATCACATTGTTGACGTTATTAGAGAAAAAGTCCGTGACAATGATCATCCTATATCATCCATCATGATTCATCAAATGATTGAGAGTTTTAGTAATAAAAGAGTTGGATTAATTTTATTACCATTATAAATTTAAAAATTAATTAACACTAAGATAACACCAAAATGAACTTGAAATCAACATCACAATGGCCCGGACCAGAACAGCAGAAGCCAAAATGGCCCAAACATCACAATGACCCGGACCAGAACCCGGGCCAACCAACTAAGAGTTGCGTGTCCAGACCACTCCAGCAGGTAATGGAACTTGAAATCAAAACCTCATAAAAAATTCAAGGGACTCGAAATCAAAACCTCATAAAAAATTCAAAAGTCAATGTAACTATTTTGCTGGTCATCCCGCAAGGGAGCGGGGCAACCCAGTCCACCTGAAGCAAGCAGCATGTCTCCGTTGATCAGCAACAGAGACGATTCGTGCACTCTCAAACATTAATCTGTTTTGAAATTCAAATAAATATAAAGCAAAAATCTGATGGAGATTTCCCATGCCAATAAATGCACCGCCCAAGTAGAGGAATCCAAGACTGCCACCGCCCAAACTAAATGCTAATTTCAAAATTCAAACCCGCCGACAACCCACCCACCGGCAGCAATTCAACCGGAAGAACGACGAGCACGCATCCACGGACAAACACTCCACCGGAAACATCAAACAAATTCTTGACAAGCCGGAAAACTCATCAGAAAATCCAAAATCACATGTCTAAAGAAAAACTCACAGTAAAGAAGAACAAACAACACAAACGACCAAGAACGATATCGGAGAAGCAAAAAAGAGAACAGGGACATTGACTAAAAGTCAATCCGAGTAGAGGCAATGTCGGCAGAGCCATTCCCACCGCCGGCAGCCTTCTTCTTCTTCTTCTTCTTCTTCTTTCTTTTTGTGATGTTCTGGCTAGTACCCGGCGTATCAGAAACAGTCCTAACACCAAAAACAGCATCATCCCCACCGTCAGCAGAATTAACCTCATGCAAATCCTCCACCACCCGACTGTTTAGAGGCATGGGCAGCCCCAGCAACGGAACGACCAACCCCCACCGGCAAGCCAGCAGAAGTCACAGCAGCGTAGGACGGATGAACCTGGGCAGAGACCGGAGCAGTGGCAGTCACCACCGGAGCAGTCTGAGGAGCATCAGCAGATTCTACCTCCGGCTTACCCTCCACCCTAGCCTTCGAAAAATTCGACTTCAAAGAACAATCCAGAGTAACATGTGTTCTGCTCCCACAATGAGTGCAGAACAAAGGGAGATTCTCAAACGAGATATCTTGCTCGAAAGAGTGCCCCCCAGGGAGGTTAACAACGATGTGGTCAGGCTGGTCAACAGAGCAGTCCACATCCACCAGAATCCTAGCAAACGCAAGCTTCTTCCTCTCCTTGGTGTTCCAGTCCATGTACAAAGGCATCCCGATGCATTCAGCAATCTTGCTAAGGGCATTAACATGCCAACAAGGCTTGGGCAGACCTGGTAACCTCACCCACACCGGCAAGCAACGGAGCTCACTGTATCCCGGCCGGAAATCTGCCAGAGGGATGCGCAGGAATACCCGTTTTCCGAACAGAGAATAAGGTCCACCGGAGAGGACAACTTTTCTATCAACCTCCCTTTTGAACCAGAACATCACATGGCCGTTGAGGAGGGCTTCCGGTTTACATTCGACCTTCCAAGACTCGGCCAAGCCAACAATGGCCTCCCATCCCGAAAAACGACCGGCAAACCTTCCCAGAAGGCTGAAAGCCCGCTCATCTTCAACCTCAAATAAATCTTCAACCCCCAAAACAGCAGCCACCTTATTCGACCAAAAAACCTTCAACCGGCATTCTTCCGTTTCCAGTTTTCGGGGCTTGAAGGAGGGACCGGAAGGGGATTTGGCTGACTTAGGGGCAGCGTATTTCACCCCAGAGCCATGAACCGAGAGGCATCGGAAACGGAATCTTGGGAGCCCAGTGTACAGGACACCGACGGCTCCGGCGACTGGACAGCAATATTCTTCTCTTTTCCAACCATACCACACGCCGGAGGCAGCCACACGTCGGAAAGCACAAGAAAGGGACAGAAAATACCTGGAAACCAAGGTTCGAGGTCGTCGAATCAACGCCGGTCAACGCCCGTCGAATCCGCCGAAAACGCGACTCGCAGACGACGAAGAACACATTATCTGCAGTTGTCGTAAACGGAAAATCCAAGGGGGAACCGACCAAAGAACCTTTTGTCGTCTATGAAAAATCCAAGCGCAAGAGACAAAATAGCGTACAGTGAATGAAACAAAATCAGTGAATGAATTGTAAAATCCGAGTTTTAATCCCAGTAGTAAACGAAAATCGAATACAATAGGAGAAAAACCAAGAAATTACGTAAAGAAAATCGGAGAATTCATAATTCTCTCGCGTGTGGCACTGTAGAGAGAAGGGAGAGCTTTTTTCTAGAGAAAGAAACAATCTAACCACATTACTGAGAGCTCTTTCGAGATTCACTTCAATTTGAGTTAATATTCTTCATGTTTGCCCATTTTCTTCTTCAGTACATTTGGGTTAATGTTCATGTTTGCCTCCTATTTGCTTCTTTAGTACATCTAGCCATGAGCAGTTATGCATAAGTCTGACTGCCATTATAGTGCTCAAAGGTCCTCATAACATCACAAACAAACAAAAAATCAAAAAAAAAAAAACCAAAAAAAACCAAAAAAAACTTAGAACAAACTAAAATAATGTATAATTTGGAAAACCAATTTTAAGAAAATTCATTTGAGAGTTTTGGTATAATGATGAATCTTGTTGATGGGAGTTATGATAACTACTCCATATTAAAGTCCACAACAAAATTATTTTCTTACTCTTATTTTCAATAGTCAACAAAGGAAAAATAAACAAAAGACTAATTGAGTAAAAATTACATAGTTAAAAAATTTCATTACATAAGATTAGAAGTCGAAGACCAAATCAATGAAATCTCCATAGTTGAGATGGAAAGGGCAATTAACTCAGAATTTAACTTTGTAGGTGAAAAAAACAGTTCAAGACAATGTATTTATGTCAGATCTTTTTATGCCAGGTAGGGAGAGAATAAATAGAAAAAAAAGAGTGAAACAATAGGAAAAAGAAAAAGAGAAAAAACAAACAAACAATACTACTAGCAACTCTGAATAACATTCCTGAAAATAGACCTATTTCATTGTTTGTTGTGGTCAATTTGTCATTGGAATATCATTCCTAGGAATGAGCTATTCCCTTTGCAATGGGAATAGCCATTCCTAGGGGAGTCTTGGTATTAGCTATTCTCATACTCTTGGGAATAGCTTTTATATTACAAATACAAAAATACCACTATTGTTGTTACTCAAGCTAGGTTCATATGTATATATAGCAGTATAGCACAAGTGAATCTGAACAACATCCATATAAACTGGTCAGGTACTCATCACAGCCTATGTAGAAATCAGACACTGCCAGGTATTCAGCTGACTTTTACCAAACATATGCAGTTATACGAGTGGCATTGCCTTAATAATTTCAGTTCTTTTTTCTATATTATTTTCACTCAACAAATAACCACATAAATATGTTATGCAATTATTGCACATATGTAAGTTTATGTCTACAAAAAACATTGGGCTGAAAACTTTAGATGAAGTCTGCCAAGCATGTTTTACCTGGCTCTTTTGTAAAAGCCATATGCCACGGCAACGACCGACACAGCCGCAACCACACCAACAGCTGTAAGAATGTCACGCTGCTCCCATTTCCCAAACTTCAAAGGGCCTCCCTGTGCCTTCTTGCTCTCTACTTCCTCAGCACTCGCATCTCTGCAGCAAGAAATTCCATTAGCACCTTGGCAGCAGCTCGTGAAACTTCCTTTGCTCTCTTCAGTACGAGTTTCTTGGGGTTTGTTTTCTTTGTTGTCCACGTTGGTTCCATTAGGAACCTTCTGCTCATCTGTCTTGTCAGCAGCTTTCTCAGCATGTAATCCCATTTGGCCCCTGCAGTCACCATGGCGCATAATGTATTATTCCTTAGTCACACAATAAGCACCATTGATAATTGAGTAACATATATTCATATTTTCAAGACACTGTAGAACCGCATATTCAAGACATCAAACTCTTTATAGAAAATTCAACAAAAAATGCCATTTTTCCAAAGGTAAATTAATATTTTCTCAAAAGCAAAGCTGCATCCCAAGTCCAAAGAGCATTATTTATACAATAATGCTGTGTCAGTCCGTCCATCCATTTTCTGAGATATTAACCAAGGCAGGAATTCAGAGTGCAAAGAGAAAGTAAAAGAAGAAACAAAGAAAAATTAGTTCACACCTCCAGATCCGTTCGATGACTTTACCCTCTCCAATATGCTGATCAAGTAACGTAGGCACATCATTTGGGGTAACATAACCATACCTGAATTACAAGAATAGATATTAAGACTATTAAATACGATATCCTTACCATGGCTAGTTATACTAAAGATAGATATCCCTGCATTATTTCCATTATTGACACATAAAAAAATAATGCCTAAGAACATTAGAAATGACACCAAGGATTCAGGTATTACCAATGGCCAGCAACTTTTCCTTCAACTTCACTGAAGATGATAACATTACCAGCATACTTGTGGCCTCCAATATGAGAACAAGCAGCTACAAAAATTTGTTCTTTCAAGCCCTTGGCCTCAATCTCCTCCTTAAATTTCTCGATAAGAGCAGGTCCACAAACACCGCACCTCCTATCTCGTTTATTATGGGCACAGACAAATACATATGCACCATGTAGTGACCCCTGCTGTCCAGAAGCCCAGGGCTTGCCACTCACAAGCACATCCTCAACAAAACCATCCACTTCAGATTCCTTCAAACCCCTATACAAAAAAAATTGCAAACAATCAAGGCATGGAAGCAATTTTAAATATCCAATAGTTAGTTGATACACTGAATGCACTGATAACAAAGTTCACCACTCAACAGGGCAGAGAAAAGGCTATCCAAAACAAGATCTTTGCTAATATTAGAAGTTTCTTCAGAAGATTAATTAGGTCAATCCTCCAAAAGGAAAGTTCAAACTAGTGGCTGTTTTTTCGATAATAATGAATGAAATTTGAGAATTACAAATCCATGTGAAGATCGACAGTTGAAACATACTAACAAATCCACGGAATTACCTGTACTTGACCATATCAGGGAAAATCAGAACATCACCATCTGATAAGTTGACATCCTTGCCTCCTTCACAGACTGTCAACCGAGTCTACCACACAAAATCACCGAAGCAGAGAATACATTAAATCTCAAATTAAGTTACATATCCAAGCATTAACACCATATCCTATATTTTAGCAGACAAATTACATGATCATTAATGCATTTTAACCATTTCATAGTCATAAAAAGAAGCTACTACCAAAATTGAGCTAATACTGACCTTGATTTTAATATCGTCCTTACGAGCTTTGATAGCAGCAGAGAGTAGCTTGGGAAGCAGATCGGAGTCGGAGTCCTCAACGCGAGAAGGCCAAGTTTGGTGAGATTGGTAGGTGAGGAACACGTGGCGATCGAAGGGCGGTTCAACAGTACCGGCGAGGTTGCTCTGGTGCATTTCGGACCTCTCGAACCCAAACTTGACGTCATCGCTGACGGCAGTAGCTTCAGTAAAGCTCTCCGATTCTCCGGCCATGGTGGAAGCTAGGGTTCGTGGAGAGCAGAAGATGAAGGGTTTATTTAATGGAGAGATTTTTATGGTAATCGGGGCAAGAGAAATATGATTGAGAGAGAACGTCGCAAGTGAAGAATACGCAATTGCAAGTTTCCTGGAATGCATAGAGATCAAGGACATTGACTGTGACGGCTTGTGCGTGTCTCCCACGCTTTTGGGAAGCTCGTTTGTAGAGGATGGACATGGGAGTTGCGAATACGCCTCACTAATCGATTTGAAATTGATGGGTTGACATCATGAAATCAAAAAAAATTAGTGTTAAAATTTAAAAAAAAAAAAAAAAAATTATAGTTAGGATATAAAAAATTTAGTCTAATGAAAAATTAGTCAAACTCTAGTGGTCCGAATGAATTAGTCTGAAATTTTGTGAGTTATTTCGATATTCGAGTTACTTAAAGGGCTTCTTTGGTTATCAGCGGTTAGCGATGAGCGGTAGATAGCGGATTGTATTAGCGAGTTTGACCAGCCGATTATATTAGCGGTTTATAAAAAAAGAAGGGGTTTTAATTGGGAAGAGTAAATTATGTCATTTCTTTAAAATAATAAGGATAAAAATGAAAAAACAGTTAGGAAACTAGGAGTTTATTTTGGAACGCTACCTAAAGTAGCGTTCCAAAATAAGCTCTTATTTTAAGCTATGAGCTTATTTTGGGAACATTACCAAACAGAGCTTATAGCTTATTAGGAGTTTAAAATAAGCTATAAGCTCCTAAATAAGCTCTGCCAAACAGAGCCCAGAAGTGTTTGGTAAAATTAACTTTTTGATAAGTTAATAAATGTAAAAAGACAAAAAATGATATCTTTATAAATTTTAAATTAGTTTGTTCACATATTAAAATTTAACATTTTGTCTTAAAAATAATTAACATTTTGAAATAAAATTATTAGCATAATCATGATCTAGCATCTCATAATAAAGTAGTAATATTGTTATGAATCTCCTTCATCTAATAATAATAATAATAATAATAATAATAATAATAATAATAATAATAATAATAATAATAATAATAATAATAATAATAATAATAATAATTGCGGTGAAAGTTGCGGATAAAGGAGAAGAGAAAATGATTTTAATTGGGAAGGGTAAATGATATTATTTCTTTAAAATAATAAGGATAAAGATGAAAAAAAAAAAAAAAGTTAGGAAGCTAGGAGCTTATTTTGGAACGCTACCTAAAGTAGCGTTCCAAAATAAGCTCTTATGGTAAGCTACGAGCTTATTTTGGGAACATTACCAAACAAGGCTTATAGCTTATTAGTAGTTTAAAATAAGCTATAAGCTCCTAAATAAGCTCTGCCAAACAAACTCTTTAATTGCTTCAAAGGTTTGACATTTTCTATGTAGGAAAATGCAAGGTAGAGTAGGGTGGGTTGCGTTGAAGTTAAACATGGCTAAAGCTTACGAGTGTATGGAGTGGGATTTCCTACATGGCATGCTAATAAGGGTGGGATTTGCGGAGATGTGGGTTGAGTCTGTCAAGTTGTGTATGTCTACAATTTGCTATAGAGTTCAAGTAAATGAAGATTGGGTAGGACCTATTATTCATACTAGAGGCATAGACAATGAGATCCGCTTTCCCCTACCTATTCATTATTTGCGCGGAGGGACTATCAATCTTACTTCATGAGATGAAATGCAAAGGTGATTGTATGGGTGTTGGGTGGCATGAGGCACCCCCGCAATTACACACTTGTTCTTTGTAGATGACAACTTCTTTTTTTGTTAATGATAATGAACATGAAGTTGCTATTGTCAAATTTTGCCTTGAAACTTATAAGAGGGCGTTTATCGAAGCCATTAACTACAATAAATCCAGCATGGTCTTTAGCCATAACACAAATGGTAAAATGCAACAGTGGATCGATGATTTTTTTAGGGTAGTTTATGATGAAGATTTTGATCGTTACCTAGGCTTCCCATCATTTATTGGCTAGAACAAACAAAGTGTCTTAGCTTTCATTGAGCACAAGTTGTGGTCTAAGATCGGGGGATGGCAGAAGATTTTGGTTGTTACCTGGATCTCTTATTATTTTGTCCAAAGGACAATTCTTCTGAATTTTTATTGCTCGATCAAATCTATGTTGCAGCAATTCAAAAGTAGATGGCAAATTTGTCTTAGGTGTGTTAGAATATGTTTGTGCTCAGTTCCATGTCCTTGTCACAATAATATGTTCTAACTTTTGTTGTAAGAGTGTGATTCTGATGAAGTGGTAGGTCGCTGTGATTCTGATGAAGTGGTAAGTCGTATACTCGTATCCATTCTTCATATTCAACTAACTGATCATCACAGATGTAGTACGCTTGTTGTACACTTTGTAGGCTCTATTGTTTGGAGAGTACCCCAAAAATATTTCTTCATCACTCTGACTCAAATTTCCCTCTTGAAGTTCTATCATTTAGAATGAACTTTGAACAAAAAATGTGAAAATGCTGAAGGTTTGGTTTCCTTCATCACCATATCTCATAAGGAGTCTTCTTAGTTCTTGGTCCAAAGTAGACCTTGTCGATGGTGTGACAGGCAGTATGCATTGCTTTAGCCTAGAAGCGCTAAGGAAGTTTTTTTTTTTTTTTTTTTGAATTAATCATCACACCGGCCATCTCTTGTAATGCCATGTTCTTCCTCTCAACAACATCATTTTGTTGAGGTATAATGAAAGTTGAAAATTCATGCAAAATACCATTCTCACAAAAAATTTCATATAATGAATTATCAAACTCCCTTCCATGATCACTCCTTATGCAGATAATTTTAATAATGGGCTCATTTCTTTTTTTTTTTTTTTTTGTACTTTTAAGCAAAGAGTTTTTATGGACCATGGTCAACATTGCAATGTGGACCACGAATAAATATTCAGTTTTAGTTTATTTTTAATGCACTGAAAATTTACTTTTAGAGTTTTAAGTAGTATATCAAATAATAAACCTTCAATACACATAAATAAACATTTAATGAATTAAAAATGAACATTTAATATACTAAAAATAAATATTATGTCAGTAATTCACCTTACAAGGTAAACCATAACCATAATATAATTATTGAAAATAAAAATAAAATAAAATAAATAAATAAACGGCTGAGCATGGCTGGGCAAGTTACGCAAGTACAAGGCATGTCACAAAGTTTCAAGACTGCATGCTTCACATTGCTTATGATCTTTATTCTGGCAATTCATATAAACAATACAAAAAAAAAAAAAAATTGTTTTTAAGTAATTTGAAATTGTGAAGAGAATGTTCACCTAAAGAAATGTGGATAAAAACATTCGTGGGTGGTTAAAACATTATGGAGTACTAAATAAATATATATGCTACCAGAATATACTTTTTAAAAATAAAAATAAAAATAAAATATATTTTTTAATAATAATAAAAGATATATTTGAAAAATTCCTTAAATATATGAGACAGGAAATTAGAAATCAAAACTAAAACATGATTGCCATACAGTACCACATGCCACCTCGTGGCAAAAGCCGCATGTCATTGTCTTGCCTTGCCAATTGCCATGCCACGTGGAAGGTAGCTAGATTGCAACGCATACATACAAGAAAAAGAGAAAAAAAGTGTTGAAATATATTATGATTTAATATCATATGGAATCTTTCGAGTATAGTGACACCTTTATATTTAGTCTTAAATTTTCAATTTAATCATTCATGGACTCTGGTTTATAGTCCAAATCTAACAAGTCATGGTCCTTCTATTAATTTAAGCAAGGACAAAGCTTAAGACTAAACGTGACAACGATACCACTATACTCAGAGAACCATAACGTGATCGTGCTACTATACTCAGAAAACTATAGTATGATGATGTCACTATACTCGGAGGACCCCAACTCCAACGGGTACTAATATAGGCAAGGCAGGCCGTTACAGCAAACTAAACATAGACATGGAAAGAAAGGAGAAGAAGATAGGCAATGGGGAAAGGGAAGTGAAGGCAAAAGATGATGAAGGCGGCAAGCCCCAAAGCAAGTGGACAGAAGAAAGCAGCAATAACAAGAAAGCAGGGGAGGAAATCAAACGCCTCCCTCACCAACAGCTTCCACAGCCAAATGACTTCAACACTGAAGCCCTGGAGAAACTGTAGTAACAATCAATGATTCCCACAACCACAAAACCATATAATATAATCTACCTTCAAATACTTCTCTGTTGCTTGCTTAGCTTGTAGCACTTTTGTTTGGTTCTGCAGTTTTAATTAATGGCTTAGAGTGATAGATAATACAGTTGTTTGTTAAGGCAGCATGTCAGTTTGCATCTTTACAATCTTGGCATACATCCCATTCTGCCTAATCAGATCACAGTGGGTACCCATCTGCACACACCAAATCAAATTTGTTTACTTTTAAACATGTAATCTTCTATACTATATGTGAACAAGCTAGTGTACGTTTTACCTCAACAACTTCTCCCCTATCCAAAACCACTACTTTATCAGCAACTTCTATCATAGACAACCTGACAAGAAGAAAATGAAAATCACAACCACAATGGAATAACTAGTAGCAGGAGAGGTGGAAAACTCACTCACCTGTTTGCTATCACAATCACACTTCTACTTGCATTAGCACCATCATTATCATGTTTAAGAGCATGAAGAAATTCCTGAAACAATTCCCAGAAATCATAACACTACCATTCTCATTTTGTTTAGGAAAAAGGTTCAAATTAATCAACGAACTACACACAAAAGTGCAATTAGGCCATCCAACTCAAAAGTCCTGAATTGTTCAACATTATACAATTTGACCAAATTTGACCTGTTCCTGAGGTCATCGCTGACATAATGGTCATCCTATTAAAAAAATAATTCTAAAAAACAGTGGGAACCCATCCCATGAAGAAATTCCTGAAACAATTCCCAGAATCATAACACTACTATTCTCATTTTATTTAAAATTATTAAAATAAATTAAAAAATAATATTTTTTTAACAAGATGACCGCCACATCAACAATTATCTAAGCAACAGGTCAAATTTTGTTGAATTGTATAATTTTGGACAGTTCAGGAATCTAATTGCACCCAAGTCAAATTTTGTCGAATTGTATAATTTTGGACAGTTCAGGAATCTAATTGCACTTTTGTTGAGTTGGATGGTTCAATTGCATTTTTGTGGTTCAATTGCATTTTTGTGTGTAATTAGGTGAATAATTTGAACTTTTTTCCTTTTGTTTATGAATAATTGGAATCTAATTGCACTTTTTCCTTTTGTTTATGTAATTAGGTGAATAATTTGCACCCAATAGCCCCTCCTTCCTTAGAATTACAAAAGAAAAGATATACCTTGATGTAGTATTCACTTTCTGCATCCAGGGCACTAGTAGCCTCATCAAGGATCAAAATAGTAGGGTCTCTAAGAATGGCCCTGGCAAGGGCAATGCGTTGCTTTTGGCCTCCACTTAACAGATGATCATCGACAATTGTGTCATAGCCATGGGGAAGTGAACATATGAATTCATGTGCGTATGCCTGCTTTGCAGCCCGTTCTATGTCTTCCCGAGTTGCAGATTTGGAGCACCCATAACTTATGTTTGACTTGATATCCAAATGGAAAAGGTGGGGCTCCTGCTAATATACATATTTCAGATATCAAAACTTCCTTAGCTTCTCGCTTTCGATCATCTCATATCTCTCTCAAAGCAAACTAACCTGTCCAACATATCCAATGTTTCTTCTCAGCCAGCTTATGTCCAGCTCTCTAAGCGCAAAATCATCAATCATAATCTATTATCCACAAGGCAACCATAAATTTAAGAACAAGGAAAGAAATCCATCCTAGAGCTATCGCCTACAATAGAAGAATAGCTTACTTGGCCATCAGTTGGTTCATAGAGGCGAAGCAAAAGGTTGATTAACGTACTTTTCCCACTACCACTGGAACCAACCTTTGCAACAAATTCGAGGATTTGTCATTACTTCAATTATCTTGAAAATAAAATGCTTCTAAATTCAGCATTATTACATAATTGTTGGTAGGAGCTAAGTTTCTTACAATTGCAGTTACTTCATTAGCTTGAATTGAGAAGCTGACATTTTTCAGGCAGGGCACCTGTCCAAATGTTTAGAAGATTAACATTGAAGAACTACCAGACAGTGTTGTAAAAATCGGCCTAGGCGGCTGCTTAGGCACCACAAGGCCGAGGGGATTTTACCCTTAGGCAGATATTAGTCGGCCGACTAGGCAGCCTAGGCACTCGAGTCGGCCAACTTAGCGCCTGAGTCGGCCAAACTCGGCGCCCGACTCGGCTGATTGATTTTTTTTTTTTTTTTTTGGTGTGCAATGTGTACACTGCTGTGTTTTTCTAATTATTATTACTCGCCGGTCTAGGCCTAGGCACCCGACTAACGCCTAGCGCCTTCTACAACATTGCTACCAGAACACTTTCAAGTTACATTTGCATAATCCTATACTACACAATATTTAAGTTACAGCAACAAGCACTTATATCTAGGTATGGACTCTGTTGACAGTAACTTGGACCAAAGCTACACAAAATTGTGGAGAAATGCTTCTTGACATCATTATGAGAAGTAACAGAAGACGTACCATTTTTCTGGAGGGGTACTGAAAGGACACATTCACAAACTGTATACTTCTTGTTAGCCTTTTCACTACTGCAAAACACAGTAACACCATTGATAACGGTCCTTTGTCGACAAAGCACAAACTAAAGAGAAAATATCGTTAGGGAAATATTCTGTTATAACTTGTGATTGAAAAGTAATATGCAAACTAACTAGGTCAAGTCCAAAGGGTAATTTATCACAATAATGAAATTATACAAAATTTTGCATGTGTATATCCAGGAGAAGCTCATTTTACTATAATATCTCAATTCAACCACCATTACCACTTATCAGAGAGAGCGAGGTGGGGTGGAGACGTGGAGTACTTGCCTTGAGACAGGTGTTGATCACTTGGAAAGAGATCCAACAACTGAAAAACCTTTTCACAGGCTCCAACGGACTGGAGAAATGATGACATGTTGTCCTGGACCCTCCAAGCAGCAAAAATTAACCATTCACAGTACAAAACATATTTTGTAAGTTGTTCAGCTGAAATGTGACCGGTCATTATAGACATTCCTCCCAACATGACTGCAAAAACCTAAAAAATATCATCTAAGATAAATACAGAAAACTAAATATTGGGCAACTTCATGACGTATGGGGCATGTATGTGGTAGACGCCAGATTCGGAAATAGCTAACCTGTGTTGAGCGGTATAAACCATTGAAACTGAGATTCCAAAATCCATTTGCAACACTTTCTCTCATCCCAACACAAGCTAGCCTCTGTAGGCAATGGTTAAACCTAATAAAAAAGGTGATATAACTTAATAAGAAATGATTACCTGTCAACAAAAGTGAAAGCAATTTCTAGCTTCTTATGCTTAAGTATTGCAAGTAATGGATATTTATGGAGATATAGAAACCAAACAGGAAATTTTATTTTAAAATCAATACCTTTGTTCCTCCTCTCTTTCCATTCCATAAGTACGGATTGTTCTCACCAAAGAAAATGCTTCTTGAGCAGCCTAGATTATTCGGGTTGATAAGAATCACATACGAACAAAAGAATACAAAAAATAAAGTGCAAAGATCTAAAGCTTACTTCAACAGTAAGAGCAGTGAATTCTTGTGTAAGCTTTGCTGCTTTCTTTTGGTACCTACAAGAGTTATATAAATGTTGAAAATAGTTTAATGGCACTGGTGACAACTGCAGAATTTTGGTTTAGTAGGGTCAAAATCTTACAATCATCACTCGGTCACTGCATACATTGATATATATTTTATGAAATTAGAAAATGTAAAGTTTGATTTATTCTGTACTAAAATTAAGACAGAAGTTTTTACAAATGTCAACAAATTTTTTTTCTTCTTTTTTTCATATTTTGTAACCACTGAATAATAGTTTTGTTGCTGAAGCTGTTAAGGACTTGTTTCTCAATACACTTTACAAGGAAATCAATCTATCATTTAGCCATTGATGTCCCATTTTGTTGTGCAATCTGTTCTTAATGAAACGGATATAAGAAAGTTGTCTTACAATTGCTGCAGTTGCAATTGTGATATTAATACCAACTTCACAATTCAATATACAAGATGATACAAAATGTTCTTTCTTGTTTACACAAATTATTTTGCAAGACTAGAATTTCCATTTAAAACAAAAGCTCTTCAGTTAATAACAAATCCATGATGTAATAGATGAATTGATAGAAAATTTGATACAAAAAAGTAGTCTAATTATTCATTTTATTGAAATGAACATTGAAATCCTTGAGGTTCATATGCAATTTGACATTTTCACCCCACTCAATATAAAACACTTGCAGTTAAAATCAATGGGTCAATTGACCCTACTGCCACAATGCTAAACTTGCAAGTGAATGACACCACAAAAAAGATCACAATAAAAGGAAAGTTTTTTAGTTTAGTAAAGAAAAACAAGTATTGAAACATACCGGCTATAGACAAGAAAGACGGTTGATAGGACAAAGCATATAATTATTGTCGATAAGGCAAGTGGCAATGACAAAGACATTAAGTGGATCAATGCACCTGTTCCCTGAAATTTGTACTCCAAAAAGGAGGTTAGACGTACATAACAAGTAAACCATGTCACAGACTTTGTAATATAAGGTGTAGACTTAAAGATGGATTAACCATATTGCCTACCTGAATTGTACTTCTCACCATCATATGTATATCGTTTCCAATAGTGTTCGATAGTCTTTGGCAATCTGTTCCAAGCCTGCTTGTCAATTCACCGACCGGCCGTCTGTCAAAAAAGGATATATCCTGCAAGAAAGACAAGATCACTATCTAAACAAACGAACATCAAAGAAATTTGTTTGAATAGGTTGTAATATAAGATCCACAATTTTGATATCAAAACTCAAGTTACAAGACTCAAACCTGAGAAAGAACAGAACCAAACAACCTTTTTCTCAGATTCTTAAGCATTGTAGTATTCGCATATCCCAAACAGCCACGCCGCAACCCACTAAAATTCAGATAAAAGTCAGTGAAGATATGTTAAATCTGAACTACATCAATTGTCTCATCAAAAGGCTATTCTCAACCAAAAATCTTGATGAAGAAAAAGAATATAGCTAGAAGTAATAACTGAGATACATTGTAATGGAACAAGCAACATACTGCATCCTCATACTGAGTTACAGAAACTCAGAAAACATATAGCAAAAAGAAAATTTTCACTCCCCTCTTATGGTTGGCCCATTATCATTTTCCAGCACTTAATTGGGTTGAATAACCAACATGACATAATATGCACAGAGCTGAAAGAACTTTGACAGAAAATTTTCAATTCAACATGGTATACTAAATAGAGGAAAGGAAATGAGCAACCTGCATATTCCTGAGATTAAAGATAGCAAAACCAAGAGCTTCAAGTTTCTGTACAACAACATAGTTTCGCCTCTCTGTGCCGAAAAGATGGATGCTGCCAATACACTTGGAATTCTGATTTCTGCAAGCTGCAGAAAACAAACAGGAATTGGATAGAAATTATTACAAGGAAATACAAAGGATTCCAAAACCCAAACTATCATTCAATTATGTTTCCATGCAGACAGCAAATACAGTAGAACAACCTGAGATCTTCATTTTAAAAACCTAAATAAACCCAATCAAAGAACTAATGTGACAAAAAGCCTCAACTTAATATACGTACCGCCGCAACAGTTAAAGCACCAAACCCCGTGTATATTGCCCATTTACCATCCGCTATAAATTCCCACATTCTACAAAGAGCATTCAAACCAGTAATCGGCTTTTCCTCATTCGGATAACCATCTTCTTCTTTACAATCGCGTAAACTCCACCAACTTCCTCCGGGGAACACGGAATTGATAAAATCGACCCAATTCCGCAAACTGCCAAGAATCTCATTTTCACTTTTCCAGGTATTCCCGTGTCCGGTTGGGACCAAGATTTCGTTCCCTAGAGTAGAATTTGAACTACAAATGAAGCTGTGAAACCTAATCCTAACATCTTGAATTGTGGGGGAATAGGGGAACCTGAGTTCAGTTTTGACGCTGAAGTTTGACGATTTGGAGATGACTGGAAACGGAACAGTATTCTGGAAATGTTGACGACATGTATGTGTATACAGATTGAGCTTCGAAATGGCCATTTCCAACAAGTGTTTCTGATCTCTATGCTTTTGCCAAAACGACGGGATGAAGGTGTTATGATCCCATTATCCGGTTCATTATTGGTTTGTAGTTTTGTACGTTGGTATGCATTCATTGCATTGTGAATTCGTAAGTAGAAACATATTACTCCGTACTTTTTAGTCTCTCTCTCACTAAATTTTAATATTGACCTTTTTTTAGAATTTAAAATCTACAAGATAAAGATAATTTATCACATCAAATAATAAAAGTAAAGTAAAAATAAGAGCATTCACAACCCTTCTTCACTTATCTTTCTAATTTGTGAGCCCAATTTTATTTTGGATAACGTAAAAATACAGTGTCACTATTTTTATCTGGATGCCTCTTTTTATTTGATCTGAATTATATACATATATAGGATTTGATTCATATGGCATTGCTGCTCTTCCATGCGAACATCAAATCCGTAGGAAGAGCTCAGATCATACAGATGGAGTCCAATGAAGAAGATAAAAAATGCGGTAATAATTTTGTAATTTTGTCTACTATGTATGTTTCGGTGGTGCATTAAGTGCTGATGTGTGGTGCACTAATGAGTGCTCTGTGGTGCACTAATGAGTGCTCTATGATGCACCACCGAGTACTGAAAATCAATCAAAAGGAGAAAAATGCGGTGATATTTTTGTAATTTTGTGCACCATGTATATTTTGGTGGTGCACTAATTGCTGATGTATGGTGCACTTATGAATGATATGTGGTGCACCACTAAAAAAATACAGTGGATTTAATAGATCCGTTGAGTGGTGCAATACTAAGTGCAGTAGTGCACTACAAATGACACATAAATGCACCACAAAGCACCTATAAGTGCACCGCATATCAACACTTAGCGCATCACAAAATTACATTTGGTATATTTCAGTAGTACATTAAGTGATGACGTGTGGTCCACTTATAGGTGCTCTCTAATGCACTTATGAGTGATATGTGGTGCAACACCAAAAAGGGAAAAACACAGTGTGTTCAATAGACCTATTGAGTGATGCAATGCTAAGTGCACAAAACACTAGCATGTAGTCCACTCCTGAAATATAGATTGTGCAGGAAATTGCGAAATTGTAATCTCGTTATTTCTCCTCTTCATTGATTTTCATCATTTTTATCTCAGCTCATCTTACAATTCTGATATGTCTGCATGGGAGAGCAACGTTGTATCAGAACATGGGCGTGTATATATATATATATATATATATTTTGATGTGGTCGAGCGGCCTAGCTATGACCCCTCAGTTGAGAGGTCTCAGGTTCAAACTCTAGTGTGGGGACATTGAGTCGTTGGCTACATGAGGTATGGGATATATGTACAATTGAGGATTTAAAATGGATATAGGGTATGTTTAGGTTCAGGTGTGTAATGTGCATGAGTGTGTACTTAATGTGAGTTGTTGAAACTTTAAAGTGTATGGATTTTGTGTTTAATGTGCATGAGTATGTATTTAATGTAAGTTGTTTTTAAAACTTAAAGTGTGTGTCTTTTTGTACTTAACATGCGTGAGGTTGTGTTCTGAACGTGTTTTGTTTGTGTGTTTAATGTGCGTGTATTGTGTACTTTAAGTGCGTCAGATTAGTGATTAACGTGCATCCACCCGCACAACTGCAGGGGAAGCATCAAATGCACCTGATCCCTTGACAGTGCATTCATAAATGCTTTGAGTGCACAAATGGCACTTATTGATTCTCATCACCTTCCTCCTCAATGTCATTATGATTATACATTTAAAAATACTTAACAATACATTTGGAAATACTTTTAGTACTCGGAAGGCACTTCCTAATTCAATTATTTGGCATTTTCAATCATTAGTTTCCCAATAATTCACCTCAGAGGTTTGACAATGTCATCAACATCACAAAGTGAATTCCAAAAATATAGGGTTAGGGAGGTAAAACAGTGATTGCAGAAGATAAAGATTAGAGAATTCCCTTTTTCTCTGCATCTATAAATACAGCAAGTGGATGCCAAATGCAGGCGCATAACACCACTGGTTTTACACTCAAAAAGTCAGTCTTTATAATTACTTTGAGGGCATATGACAGAGTTCTAGACTTCTTGACATTACATACATATTAGAGCACATGGATAACTGACAGGTGTTATAACATTACAAGCAAATTCCTACACTAAAAGAGAAGAAAGAAGATGGAGGCCGGATAGAAATCACTACCAACTTAGCGGGTTCTTTCCCTGCTGAATTTTGGCGCTATAACAACTTTCTATATCGTCCTGCACAGTTACAAACTGGTTTAGTAGTTTCTATAAGACCGACCTGTTTGTTTTTGCTTGATTACTTTACACACCTTAAGAAACTACATCAATCATCAAAACCAACACATCTCTAGATCCACTAGTGAAGAAGAGAGGAATATACCTTGCAGGATTTTAGCAGTGGTTGCAAGAACGATTGTCTGAAATATCTGACAGATTTCCCAAGGGAGGTTCCATCCCATTCTGGAATATGAAACAGGCAAAATGTAAGAAATGCAGTAACTTAAACAGCAGAAAAAAATTTAAAACAAAAAATCAATCTTCAACTACTAAAAGTTGACAAGTGTTTCTGCCATGAGTGCGGCTCAAAATTTCAGTGGTTAGAATAGAGCACTGAATTTATAATCTAGGATTAAGGGGCATACCACTATCCATATCGGCTCTAAAACCTCCCATGTTAAGTTCTCCAAGAAGCTGCATATAGAACAATGGAACATTGAAGAATATAAAACACAAATTATAGATAACATTTTTTTGTAGCAGCTGCATTGTAGCATTTTTTTCTTAACAATGTACTAATGTAGCAGCCAACCTTCATAGTAACATGTCAAGCTACAGCAAGATATTGAAGTTCTCTTGCACATAATCTAATTTCTTAGCTAAGTAAATAAGCTTACTCCCAATGGAGGAGAAAGTTAAAACACATTATTTTATGTGTTCTTTGAATAGTCAGATTAGCATTCTCCCCCTAATGGCCAACCAATTTTTTAATTGAATCCAATGAGGATTATATCTACAATACTAAGTGGCAATAGATACAATCAAAATAATAAAACATACCCGGGAAAGAGTTGGTGCATCAGAGGGATCAAATTCCTCACATTCATTAGGGTCAATGGGAATGCAGACACGGCCTAGAGAAAAAGCAAAGAATCAACATGCAACCTAAAAGATTATACAGACCAAAAAACATATATGAAAATGAGGGAAGATCAAAGGATTCAAGTCTGGAACTTTTTAAGAAAATCAACAGAAGGAAATTTTTTTAAAAAAAAAAAAAAATCAAAATAGAGAACCTGTTTGGGGGTGCACACAGAATGGTGCTTTCAGTAGATGATTCAAGTGTCTTGAAACCTGGTTGTTGTTTGCACGTTAGGGTTATGCACCAATATATCAAAAGGATACAGAGTATAAGTCAATCCTATTTTATTGCTTGGAAAAATTATCATATCTTAATATCCTGCAATTGCACGTAGAAAAAAAAAAAAGATCAAGCAGTCGAATGATGAGAAAATAAACCTCCATATCAAGCCTAGGGTAGGTAAAAGAAAACACAATCTCTTCAACACATCTACGAATTCCCTGGGCCTGAAATGTTAAATTACAGCGGATTCAGAAAAACAGAAATCAACCTGAGCATAATAGAAACTCAAAAGAGAATGTGACAGCTTGAATTTGATGAGCTTATCTAATCTAAGACTAATGTGAAGTCCAAACAAGAAATTGAGATTAAAAGAGAATAAGTGTTTTCAACAACAGTTATGTAGATTGCAGCTGTAACATTGTCACGCTAAAGAGTGGAAAATAAAATAAAAATGTTGACAATAGGTCAGAAAATACAAGATATATGTTCACGTCGTTTTAAAGAGAATGTTGACCTGAAGTATATACCTTGTGTTTACCAGATTGCAGCAGATGTTTTAGTTGTTCCCATCTGAAAACATTAATATCATCTTTCACACGTTTGTTTTCCTGCCACTTTGCCCGGAGCTCAGATACAATATCTGCAACAATCACCGTCAGTTTATTCAAAGAGAAATGAAAAGTAGCTATAAAGTTCTTTGTAACTTGAGATTGATTTGTGAAAAGTTAAACATCCATACACTCATCAGGAATCATTTCCAGTATCTTTTCGCATCTTTCCTGGCTCGAGAACAAATTTTGACTCAAAAGCAATTTGTTCTCAAAAAAATCCCTTAAGACTTCCGTGTATGATCTCCTGCATAGGTTTAATGAGACTCAAAAGAGAATGGAGCTAAACCTAAAATCAGGAAGAAGCATATAACATTAAAAAGAGATAATCACTCTTACACTAGGAAAGGGTGAAGTGCAGGACCCATGAGAGAAACTTTTCGATTGCTATTCTCATTGCCCTGAAATTTCAAGAAAATTTTCTGTAATTCCATATGGTATCATAAATTTTACCATTGCCATCTAAAACAGATTTAAAGAACCTTGTAGACACGAAAGTAATCAGCAACAGCAGCCCTTTGTTCATTATTCAACCTGGTCATAAAATAGCAGTTAAGTTTACACATTCAAATTTGCAGAAAATTGCGACATAATGATTAAATTTACAGTTCCCCATGTAACAGCATTACCTTCTAGCTTTTAGATCACAAACCCAACAATGGACACCACGCCGGCCACTGTACACCCAGAGAATGTGATTGAATCCAAAATCCTCTGTAGAAAAAACATATGAATCTAGATTTGTATTTATGCACATCATTGTGTTTGCAAATAAAACTTGTGCCATAATAGTGTTGGACCATATTATCAGGTAATTTAAACACAGTTCAGTTCTTGTTCACAACTAATCTACAAGAATGAAAACGAAATGAATTGAAGACATTGAAAATAACAATGAGGAGGCTTCTACACTATTAGATGAATGGTGTCAATATAGACTAAAACATAATAACTCTTTTATCTGATTGAAAACCACAACTAATTAGAAGCACAAAGTTTTAAGTCCTCAATAAAAAGCAACAAGATTGGTGAGCAGGGGATGGTTTGTACTTCGTAATTATTGTGAACATGTCGGGTAAAGTATATTTTAACAATTGCTATTGACAAGAGCATGTAAGA